AAAACTGATGTAGCAATTGTGTGTAGCTGTCAGTAGGCACATTGACACAGGCAAGTACGTGATTGAGAGGAACATGGCTTACATCTGAAACAAATTGAAAGCAGACTTTCTATGCAGAGCAGATGGCCCTTATCAGACCACACTGGCTTGAATAGTATAGCTGAAAAATGGACAAGTTTTTAATATACACAAACTCTCTGCTACGAGTCTTGGTTTTCTTGTGGTGCTGCAACTACACAGTGCTGCAAGCTACTGTGGGATAATTGGGCACACATGGGGAATGCTTACATGTAAGGAGTTTTCTAATAGGAAGAGGAAAGAACTGGAACAAGAACTAGAACAATGTCATATTCAAAGACATTTTGGTCTTTGTGATGCTTGCTTTGTTTATGATATGGCAGTTTACAGATTGTGCACAGTATTGCTGCAACAGCATGGAATGAGAGTTGGGGCGCAGGAGAATGGTGGCCACTGGTTCTCAGCCATCATCAGGCAGGAAAAATGAATGCTGTCACAAGCTCAAGTTTTAAAGCATAAGAGACTTCATTTAGTATTTTACAAATACTTAATCAGTAAACACTGTGAAAACTTGAAACATACTGACATTTTAATACTAGCAAAGATGTTTATTCTGTTATCAGACACAACTCACAAGCATTTTAGTCCTTGTGATGTGAAACAAAACATTGGTGTTGTAAGGATTTCTCAGCATTGGTTAAAGGTTTCTGTACCACATGCTGACATGAGAAAGTCTTGGCTTATCAGTATTGTTAATTTAAATTTATTTTGGGGCAATTATGAAGACCATTTTTTTCACACCCACCCCCCGCTGCCCTTGGTTAGACCTTGCTTGAAAGGATGTTTTCATTGTAAGCTCTGATTTCTTTATGATCTTACACTTGTAGGTGGTGAAATTGCTTCAACCTTTGATCATCCTGAGCTAGTAAAACTAGGAAGCTGCAAGCTTATTGAAGAAGTCATGATTGGAGAAGATAAACTCATTCATTTCTCTGGAGTAGCAATGGGTAAGTGTTTTATCACTAGCAATGTATTGTGACATTTGTGTTAACCCTCTGCTAATGCTGTTCAGTTTCCAGTGAGGCGTAGGAATTCTGTAATGATTTATATAACTGTTTCTATAAAGGCCTTGCTTTTCAGTAAAAGTCCTGTTCAATTTCAGGGTTGAAACTGTGGATGTTTCATGTTATGTAAATAAATATATAATAATTTTTAAGGATAGGAACCAAGGTGTCTGCTTTGAGAGATGGCAGTTGACAAGAAAAGTACCAATATGTCATACTTAAAGAGCTTGTTCTAGTAAATGCCAATGCTCTAATTTTTCAAGGAGTTCTGAAGTGATACTCATTTTCTGTTAAGTTAAATAAGGTGTTGTGGAACCAAAGCAGTAGCACTGTGCACATAATTTCATTCTGTCTTTGAAATGTCATCATGCTTCCTTTTGCTCCCAAAATTAATACAGAACTTGACTGCAGCAATAGCAAAACCATTGTAAATTGTTGTGATAGCCCATTTTTCTGTCCTGGTTTCTCCTTTTAATCATTTTACATTTGTGCTTTCTAGGTGAAGCTTGCACCATAGTTTTGCGTGGAGCCACACAGCAGATTCTAGATGAAGCAGAAAGGTCTCTGCATGATGCTCTGTGTGTCCTGGCCCAGACTGTGAAGGACACAAGAACTGTGTATGGTGGAGGTGAATATCAGATTCTTTGTACATGTCACACATTTCCTATTACTGAAGGTTAGCTGTGTAACATCTGTGTGTCTTCAATGAATAGGTTGTTCAGAGATGCTGATGGCTAATGCTGTTGCAGAACTTGCTGTCAGAACACCTGGCAAAGAGTCTGTTGCAATGGAGTCCTTTGCTAAGGCTTTACGAATGGTAGGTTTATATAATCATATTGCTGAGACAAAGTTCCATGGAGTTTACTAACTTGTGACATCAGATATTTGCTTCACTTTAAAAATTTTGGTTGTCCAGACTAAAAAAGTAAAGTTTAGCAACACAGCTTGGATAAACAAAGGGGGAAATTGTTTTTTTGTCTTAGGAAAAAAGTACTGGTATTTCAATAATTCTGCATGTTGCAGAATTGTAAATGTTTGTATGCTGACTCTCCTCTAATTGTTTCTTGCTCACCTTACCTGCTAGTTAAACATGCTGCAGAAATAGTACAGAAAAATCTCATCTTATATAGTTGACAGCTGATTTAGAAAAGAGCAACCCTTCTGTTCCATTGATGCTCTAGTGCTCTTTGGGTGTATTCATACTCTAGTACTAGCTACAAGTTTCTGGTCTTGCATTGGAGATTGCATCTTAGTAGGAAATGCGAGTGTTGCAAGAAACATTAATAGAATTGTGATAACAGGCTGTCAGTTTGACAGAAAAATTGAATTAGGGACAGCTTTTCTCCCAAGAAAGTTAAATTCAAGAGCATGGTAATACTTGGCATTACCTCTTCAGTCAGCACATGCAGGTTTGCACTGCTGTCACGGAAACAGTGAACAGAATGGTCAGGTAGTTAATGCTTACCAGCAGACTTGTGCTTTTAAATGAAAACATTTCTCCAGTTGTAGTCTGAAATGATAAAGTTACAAGATTCTTTTTTACTTCTCTCCATGTAAAATGAGTGTACAAATCTGCTAACATGCTTCTGTGCTCTTAGGTACTTTCTTACAGTAGAGTCTTGAAATTCTTAGAAAGGTAGTTTGGGTTTTTTACTTCTTACAGAAAAAGATCATCTGGCATGTTTCTGAAGCATCTTATTTAAATTTAGTTGTAAACTAATAACATCAAAGTGTGTTTCATGCTGGCTAACGATCAGTCGCTATGTTAATTAAAAACAACCTGTTTTTATCCCCTTAGATCCCAACAATAATAGCTGATAATGCTGGCTATGACAGTGCTGATTTGGTTGCTCAGCTCAGAGCTGCTCATAGTGAAGGGAAGACTACTTATGGACTGGGTAAGGGGACCAGTTTTACTTCTGTGTTTGAATTGCTGTTTGGCCAGGTCCTCTAGGCTCATTAAGGTTGCTCATGTATGTCTGTCACATATATTCAGCAGGGAGAACTGAGTATGTTGATTTGTTTGTTTTGCATAGAACTTGGTGTACAGCACTACATTCCTTTTCTGTTCTACCAAGCTTTTGAAAATAGAGTGAAAATCTTTGTTTCTTAAATGGATGATTTTCACCTAAAAACCACTTCCCTTACACTGAGTCTAGTTATAGAAAGCTTAAAAAGAAAAACATTGTTTTAAAACCAGCAACCAGCTAAAAACCCAGAAGAACTAAACATCCTTCCCTTTGCCCCTTTCTCCCCACCCCCACAAAAAAACCCAACCGAGCAACAACCACAGAGTTGTGGAGAAGAACCCTGAAGTTAATGTACCTAAGGACATAGTGCAAAGAGTCCTTTTGGGATCTTGTCTCCTCATCACAGTGTATAAAGTTTTTATCATCAACTGTTTCTATGTAATTGCAACATTAGGCTTAAATCAGCAGTCTTGAGGTAGAAGACTTTATTTATTATCCTAACTGTCAGTATAGTTCATTTGAGCAGGTGAGTTGCTATGCTCTCAGCTTCTTGTGATTTCCTTAAAAAACTGCTGAGTTAAAAAAAACAAAACCAAAAAACTACCTCTTGATGTATTTCTTCTTCCAGATATGAAAGAGGGTGTCATTGGGGACATGTCACTTTTGGGAGTAACAGAAAGTTTCCAGGTCAAGAGACAAGTTTTGCTGAGTGCAGCTGAAGCAGCAGAAATGATTCTTCGTGTAGATGACATCATTAAAGCAGCCCCAAGGTATGATCAGAGTATCTGCATGGTCATTCACAGTGGTGTACAGTAAACCTCCTTCTGTGGAAGAATTAGGTGCAGAAAAGTCTTGGCCTACAAATTCTTTACTTGAAGGGGAACCTGACATGTGACATGCCGATGTTATATTAGATAATCTTACTGCATTAGCAGTGTCATCAGACCTTTAGAGCCATCAGCAAACTTAAATTACTGTGCCTGAGTAATGCCTAGTTAATCCTAGGTCACTAAACATTTGCACAAGTGGCTGACCAAAATGTATGGGATCATGCTTTTTCTTTTGGCAAGAATTATAGTGAAATGTCCAGCTGCTTCTGAGAGAATCTGCAGCTAAAACAGAAACATGTTTCTTAAAAGGTTTGAGAAGAATTGCCACTCATAGGCAGGCCTGTGGGCCTGCTACCAGGTAGTTTTTACTGCTTTTTGAATCAAAAGATTTTTTTTTTAGCGTGGTCATGGGTGGTGTGTTAGCTTTGAGGTGGTACTGTTTTTTGTGCTGTGAGATAAAGCTGTCACTGAACGCAAAATACTAACTAAAGATTAAAAATAAGGGTGGGTGAGGAGGGGCTGGTGGACATCAGCATGGTGGGAATTTTCTGATTTTTCTTTTTCTCCCCAGAAAACGTGTGCCAGACCATCGCCCCTGTTAAATTTTCTTCAGTACCTGAGGATGTGTGGACCAGATCTCACCTAGTAATTTTTTTAATGGTCTAGTTTTTGTGAGGTTATGGAAGAGAAGCTTGAGACAAACAGATCTCCATCAATGGCACTGTCTTCAGTTGGTTTTTACTTACTGGAGCTTTTATGTGTTGTGTGGAAGAATTCACTTTCAGGGGTGTATAAACCAGGGGTTTTATACAACTCTATTCATTCTGTTCCTTCCAGGTTCCACATAAAGTACACAGAAATAAAAAAAATAAAAATAAATAACTCAATTTCCCCAAAGTTGTATTTCTTTCTGTAGAACCAGGAAGGGCAGATCCACGAGGACAGCTGTGGTGCACATCCTCAGGCTCATCCTCACTTTGGGGGTGACTAAGCCCTTGTGGCTTGCTGGTTCATGTGGACCTGCTGTGTTAGTATGAGAGGTGTATTCCAGTCCTGGCTACATGGGTTTTGAGTTTGGGTGCTGGAAACAGGCTCTGAAGTTAGGTGGTATATTACTATTTTGTTGTTGTTGTTGTTTTGTTTTGATGATGGAAGAGAGAGAGTGGGCAAGGAACCTCAGTCAGTGCCCAGAACTACAACCAAATGATCTTACAGCCTTTTCACACCACAAATTTAACATTTTGCTCAGGGGAGTTGAGAGGAACGTGCAGGTAGGGAGAGAGAACAACATTCTGGACCAAACAGTCTGAGTGTTGATCTGTAAAGTATTGGGCTGACTTTACAAACACTTATAATTGTGGACACTTAGCAGAAAATATGCCAGGCTCCATAACATTCATTTCCTGCCCTCTCTGCCCCACCCCTTTCACATCTGTTAAATCCTGTCTTTATATTCACTTTCCTATTCTATTAGTTGCTGCAGAGGCAGCATGTTTCTTGACTGGATGGGTATCTTTGTGCCTAGGTTGGAAGGAAGCCTGTGATGCCTGCAGCGGTCTGCATGCAGATCTGTGAGGACTAAGCACAGACAAGCAGGGGCCCTGTCTGTGTGGGAGCCCAGAATGGTGCCAGGCCTTGTGACCTTTTTTTGCCCTTGCAAGTGTACAAACACCAGGGCAAGTCTGCCAAAGCAGAATGATTAAGTTGAAGTAAGCAAGTATGTGTGCAAAGGTTTTTCTCCCTTAGATTTCTTAAAAGGAAGGGAATCTGCTTACAGATTCCTCCCCTTAACTCTTAACAGAGACTCTTCAGCTCTCCAGAAGTGACAGTGCTGTATGGAGAGGGCTGAGTGAAACACAGACCATTGACAAGCCAGTGAAAGCATGCTCTTCTCTATCCCCTTAGATAAATACAGTACCAGCTTAGTTCTGTTGGATATAAAATATTGACCTTGGAGATTAAAATAGCACCCCTAACTCACATCCTGCTTTCATTTTTGTAGGAAGAAATTGTTGGAACAAGACTAGATAAAGAATTTGCTGTTAATTCCAAAGAAGCATTTTTTAACTTGGCAACATGCTAGTATACTTTTATTTAATTTCACTAGGAGCACACTACATGAGTGCCAGCCAGATGCAAATTTGGACTTCATTTTACAAGACAAGTGCTAGCAGAGTCTATATATTTCCAGATAATTTTTCAAGCATGTAGATGACATTAAACTGATGCCAGTCACAAACTGGCATGGAATCAAACCTTTTCTGTGAAGTCAACTGCTGCTTCTGCAGGCTGTGCTGGTGAGACAGTTCTACTTGAAGAGTGTGCCACCAAGGGCTTTCCACCCTTGTTAAACAACCTGTCACCTAATTCAACCATGCTATGGTGTCTAAAATGTCACTTTGAGCCAGATTTCTGTTACTCAATTAAAGCAAAGCTTAGGAAGAAAGTGCATTTTTAAGGGGATCTGAATTGGTCCAAGTTGCAAGCTTGAGAAATACCCAGCGGAAATCATCTGAGAAAAGTTTGCCTCATCAGGTTATGTGCAAGTTTATCGTGACAGCTCCCAGCCCTGGATTTTTTTCATGCAAGTTTACCTCTGCAGCTCTTGTGGCTTTTCCTTTTTAGTCAGGCTTTGATTTTCTTCTTTGCTTCTATATGAAAACTTGTCCTGTACAGCTGCCCTCAGAGGCAGTGTTGTCAGTAACAAAACACAGCAGCAAAGCCTACAGCTTTCCTCACCAACATCTGGATGCTGCTCAGCAGTGACAAAACAGTTGTCACAAATTTTGCTGGAAGAAAGAGGAAAGCCCCCTGTACATATGTGCTGTTTCCTTGATAGTGCAGCTGGGACTCTGCTACCACTTCCCACTCAGCAGACAGGGAAACCTTCAAGGTATTGCTGTATTTCAGATAAAGCAATTTGAGACCAGTGCTGTGGGTTGCTTTAGAGCTGTGGCTCAGCAGTGATCACCTTGAACAGTGGCTTCCAGCTGAGCTGGGACACCTCAGCAAGGTGGAAGGGAGAAGAGTGAGCCTACAGGTGAGGAGCAGCTAGTCCTTATGTGCTCCATGCAATCCACACATGGCGAACATCTAAATTAAGTCTTATCTCTATTGAGAACTGTGCATAGTCCCAGCATGGCAGGAGCAGGAGAGGGAAGTCTGTTCTAGGGAGAGTGCTGGGTGCTGCACAAAGACAGACAGGTGTCTGTACAGGAGTTTTGCTGTCGCGTTGTCTCCAAGCTGGTGCACGTACTCCTAATGATTGTCAGGCAGTGGTGCTCCCTGGACACCAGCAAGCAAGGGAGAGGTAGAGGTTGGGCAGCGGTGGGAGTGCGCTGCCACCTTGGCCAAAAGGGGCAGCTGAGTGTCAGCAGGGCTCGGCTTCTGGCTCGGTCTTGGCGGCAGGAGGTAGCAATGGTTTCTCGTCGAGCGTGATTTCTATCACTGCCCCGGATCGCTTGCGGGGCTCGGGGCTCTCCTCTGACCACCTGCCCACCCTGCGCACCCCTTTGGCCACCTTGGGTGCATTCCTGCAGGGGTTGTGGTCGTAGATCACCAGCTTCAGGCCGGGAAGGTGAGCAAGGCTGGGGAAGAAGCGGATGGAGTTGCGATCCACGTCGATCACCTCCAGGAAGGGCATGTCCAGGAGCACGGGAGGGAACTCGGACAGCAGGTTTCCTGACAGCCAGATGGTGCGCAGCTCCTGCAGGCACTGCAGCTGGGGAGGGAGGCTGCGCAGGGCGTTGGAGCCGGCGTGCAGCGTCTTGAGCAGGCTGAGCTCGCACACCACCTCAGGCAGGTACTGCAGGCAGTTGGACTCGATCCAGAGCGTCTTGAGGTTCTGCAGGAGCCGGAGCTCGAGGGGCAGGCTGCAGAGCTTGTTGTTGCCCAGGTAGAGGATGCACAGCTGCTTCAGCGTGCACACAACTAGGGGCAGTGCTTTGAAGTTGTTGAAGTCCAGTGCCAAGATCTGCAGGTTTTGCAGCTGCTCCAGCTCGGGGGGCAGATGGTTCAGGTTGTTGTCACTCAGGTACAGCTTTACCAGTTCCCGGAAAGAGCAAATGTGCACAGGCAGCCGCCTCATCTGCCTGCCACTCAGATCGACCATTTTATCCACTGGCATCTCTTCTAGATCTTCTAGGAGGTACTTCTGGCACTTGTTAGAGGGCACAAAAGCAAGTATGGCTTTCAGGCTGTTGCCCATCTCAGAATTTTGTTTTAGGATGGCTGGGACTGCGAGGGACAGGAGGCTGCCTTGGTCTCCTGCTGCACACTGGCCTGTTGGTAACTTGTTCTTCCCAATATAAGGCTCTGTTTACATGGCACCAGCCATTAATCTCAAGGGCTCTGAAATGCTTCTGATAACTGAATGAGTGTTTGGTGACGGGGATTATGGACAGGACGACTCAGGGCCCAGGTCTCCCTCTCTCACCCACACTCCTACTTGCTCGCCCTCCCCCTGAAAACATTCCTTCTTTCCTCCTCTTGCACACTGTAAATGTTCTCTGATTTTGCCCCATACAAAATTAGGGTCATGCCAATGCCTCAGCCCCTCACTTGCTGCAGCTGTGCTGTCTGTGTAGCTAATGCAGGCAGCAAGGATCGGCTTGGGAAAGTAAACACCACAGCAGACCAAAGTTTTAAGCTCAGATGTTTAACTTTCATGAAACTTCCAGCAGAAATGTCGGATATAATCAAATTGTTGTTTAAAATACCTGTCAAGACTTGACTGACTTTCAAAATGAGTGACACTTTCAGGGATGTATTTTGAAAGGTGCCAAATACTTGGATTTCAGAGTGTAACTTGCCACCCAGTACTTATCTTAAAGCTTTAACACAAATACTTGGCAAACTGCTATCTTGAGCGGTTCTACTGTTTATGTTCTTAATGTAATGGTCTTTATTATAGCCTCTGGCACTCTTGATTGTGTAGGGCCTTTTTCATTACAGTTTTCTTCTTGTCTGTAGGGCCTTTTTAATTTCATTGTTTTACTCCTTGTCTGAATCCCAAGGTAATATGCTATCACAAATTGCCAAGGTTGTTCTCCCTCCACTTTCCAACTGTGCTGCTGCAGTTTCTGTGTCTGTACCAAAACCTGTCAAGAAACTCCCATGGATTCCTTCAAGATTCTCACTTGTTATGAGTGAAATAAGTCTGATTTTGAAAAGTTATGGCTATTTAGATGTGACAGTGTTCTAGTTGCATCATGATCCATTTTGCTAGTCAGTTCTAATTTCTAGGAGTATTCCTATGTATACAGGAACATCTGCATAGTTTGACTTGTTGAGCTTCTGCTATTTCAGACTTTCCTGGGGACTCATATTTGTCCCTACCCATGTCAGGGAGGTTGGAACTACATGATCTTTAAGATTCCTTTCTACCCAACCCTTTCTGTGGTTGTCCTGCATCTGTGTTGGCCATAGCTCTACCATGAACTTTGGATGTGAAAACTGGCAGAGCGTTTTAAGGTAAAATAGCCTTTTCACCACCTGGCTCTTTGCTTTGATATCTGCAGCCCATTGCTGTTATTTCCCACACTTACTGTAATTTAGGGAGAATACGTTCTTTGAACAATCTGCAATTGTTTTTTGGGTATTAGGTGCTGTACTACCAAAATCCGTGACTGCTGAGAGCCATGCACCCTTGAAAGACGAAAGGCAGAGCAAACAATATTGAGGAAAAGGCAGCACTTAAGGTGGCCTCTGGATTTCTTGGTCAAATCTAGTTATATAGAGCTCTCTACTACCACTTGCTTTCAAATGTAAAGCAGCTCTTAGCTGAGTATAGGCTACAGGCTGTTTATGAGTCTTTTCCCCACAAGATGAGTGGCTGTGCCATGCAGCAGTGATGCTATAAAGTCATGGAGGAGAAGAACAATAGAGAGGACACCTGGGAAACAGTATTGCAGCAGGACAGAGAGCAGTGACTGCTGAGACCTGAGTACCACAAAAGTTTTGGATGGAGAAGCTGGGCAGAGTATTAAGCCTGGAGAACAAAGACAATGTCACAGTAATCTGTGGTGGTGCTGTGGAATAGAGGGCCTGAAAGTTTCCTCTCTGATGGTGGGACGTGCTGTGCATGGCATCCCAGAAGCAAGAAACCAGCTTGCACTGCATGAGCATCTCCTTTTAGACACTTCTTTACTGCTTTGATACTCTGTCCCCTGTCATAGGACCACTGTGGGGTATGTGTCAGCAGGCTGTTGTATTTGTTTTTAATTTCTAAACAGCCGTGGCACCTTTTGAAGGCGAGGGTGCCTCCCCTTAAGGCGCTGTAGACCACAGGTGTGGAAAACCAAATGCATTTGGCATAATTAATAATGAATATACATCCACAGCAAAGTCTTGTCTTTTAGACAAATTTTTTCAGATAACCTACTAATCATAACAACACAAGAACATAGCTAAGACTATATTAATGGTACAGTTTAGGCATATTTTTTCTCAATAATCCATAAGTAGACAAATAACTTAGCAAAGTACTTTACGTCTGCAGATACAGATATGGATTTTTTTTTTCCTACTTGAATTATTTCTCCTTAATGGAACTTTTAAACTGCAGATAACTATTTCTTAGGGATCCTCTGCACTGTAGTTTAATGATTATTCCAGCTTATCAAAAAAGGTCACAATGACCTTTTGTTGCTGCATTTTGTACCTCTGTTAGTTAAATTAATGTCTGCTTGGAACATAGAGTGAGATCAGAGAATGTGGGAAAGAATAACCTCTGTGTGTGGATTAATAAAGGACTACACTTGCAGTAAAATGAACAGTCGCATTCTTTCTGAGAATTGGCCACTCAGTGGAGGCACTAAGGCAAAGGCAGTCCTCACAGCAGACCCAGGCCGTGTTTTGAAAGCTTTATGTCTTCAAAGTCACCGTGGTGCCCTCCAACAGGAACATTATCGACTTCCCAGAAGCATTTGTAGCATTTGAGGAAAAGTTCAAGTGATAAAGGCACTCAGCAGAGGCATTGTCTTGCTCTTGTCAAAGCGACACTGCCCTACCCAAGGGCATGACATCTGCTCTGTTGTGCATCAAGTGACAGGTGGGGGCTCCTTGAGAAGTGCCTTTTCTTTCTAGATTTCACAAATGGCTGCATCTTTGCTCACCATTCCCATTTCCAGCACCCAGATCTTGCAGCTCAGTGGCTGGGATGACTGTGGGACAGGAAATGTGATAGTTTGCTGATAACTTGAGTAAAACCTTTGAGTTCAGGAGAAATGGGGAATATTACTCAGAGATAAATAACTGAAAAAATCAGAATAAAATAAAAACCAATATAAAATATGCATTTTTGAGTTTTTATTATTTTTTGAAACAAGATATTATAATAGAGATGCTGGTGCTTTTTCAGATCCAAACTCTGCCTGCAGCTGTGTGATGACACCACTTGCAGTTTTTGCTGTGTTTTTTTAGCCCTTACAATTTTGGAGGTATGTTGGAAAAAGCAAACTGTATTTCAAAATCTAGGGGAACTAATAAATAGATCTCTAAACTTATTGATATATGGCTCTCAACCCCTCCCCAATCAGTCTGACATAGCAAGGGAAGTGACTTAAAGGAGCAATTTTTGTTTGCTTTGTATTTATTTGCAGTCTGTGATGGGCACTTAGACGCCTTCTTGATCTAGGGGAACCAATAAATAGATCTCTAAACTTATTGATTTAAGGCTCTCAACCCCTCCTCAATCAGTCTGACATAGCAAGGTAAGTGACTTAAAGGAGCAATTTTTGTTTTCTTTGTATTTATTTGCAGTCTGTGATGGGCACTTAGACGCCTTCTTGGCTCACAAATGCTGTGTGACTGGGTTTTTCTCCTGTTTCTTCTTGACATTCCTGCTGGAGCAAAGATGACAACTCCTGCCTCCTCTGTGTCCTTTGACATTTGCTCCTGGCTGTGCTGTTGCACATCTGCTCTCTTTGGGAGAATTCTTTAGTTCTAGTTCACCTTTGCATAGTGAGAAGTTTATTTTAAATACATGGTGTGTTGCAAAGATAAGAAAAGTGGTTGCTCTTTCCCCAGCATCCTACCATACAAACCTTTTGAACAAAAATGGCTGATTATTCAAAGTTAGCTTTAATATATGCTAGGCTGCAGTATGTGGTTGCTTACTGCTCTTTCTTGTGCAGAGGAAAGATTCAAAAGGTCTTGTAAGTAAACTGCAGACTCAGTGCTCTGCTTCCTCCTGGGCAGCTGATGGGGGCTGTGCTCTGCCAAATCAGCTTCTTTTTGACACCATTATTTCTCTGCAGGCTTGACTTGAACACACGTGCAGGGGTGGGAGCCACTAACTGCAGGAAACTTGCAGGAAAATAAATCCAAGAGAGCTCTTCCAAATGTCTTGCTGAAATGTGTGCAAAATTATTGCTGGTTTTTACTGTATGTTGCAGTATTGTACTGCTGTGTTTTTTACTTTGAAGATCCATCTTATGTCGTGGCAGTCACATTTATGTTTAGACTGGAGCTCTCCTATAGATAGAGAATTAAATTTCAGCTGTTAGGGGGCGACTTGTCGCAAGCCCACCAAAAGTCTTCTCAGCCCTGCTGAAATGTCTCCAGGCAAAAGGGAAATGGATATATATTACGTCCTCTTTCTCTGCATTGAACACTTCTGAGCAACATCTCACTAAAGCAAGCTTCCTCTTTCTCATTCTAGCAGGAGCCAGGCTCACCCCATATATCATATTTATGTGAAAGACATTAAGGATTGTTAGTTAAATGTCTGTTTGGTCTAGACTGTGCCTTGGTTATCTGTGCCTGAGTAGCTCCACTGGACACCATTATTTGCTCAAACCAGCGGTTAGTCTGAGAGTAAATGAATCTGTTTTCTGCCAAAGCACTGACCTCCTGTGATTGATTGACCTGGCGAGTGGCCCTCAGCTGACAACAGGCCATAAAAAAGGGACTTCTGAGTAAAGGAGTGTCATTAGACTCTGAACCTCTTGGAGCCATGCGGGCAATACTGTTGGCTGTGGTTTACATCCCGCTCATCGTGGCTGTGGAACGGTAAGGAAACTCATCTGGCTTCACTGGCACACATCTCAGCTGGCTTCATGGGATGACCTGTGCCTGTTGCTACTTGAGGTCTCAAAAAAGAAACCTTTTTTTTTAAAAAAAATGGAGTATATGACAGTTCTAGAAAGGACAATCAGTTTGTTTTTTTTGTTTATTTTATTTGCATAGAATCCCCTTGATTCGATTCAAATCTATCAAGAAACAGCTGAAGGAAAAGGGAGAATTAGAGGAATTTTGGAGGAATCACCACCCTGATGTTTTTGCCCGGAGGTATCTGCATTGTTTCCCCGCAGATATTGCTTTATCAGTAGGAACTGCTTCAGAAAGGCTGTATGATTACATGCATGTAAGTACAGTTTTGGTAATGCAATCATTAGGACTCATCCATCGTTCTACTGGAGGCAGGGGGTTTTTCCCAGCACATTTGAACAATGAAATTATAGGGCTTGTGGTGTCTTGTTGCTTTGTGCTATAAATATTAGACCATAAAAAACCAGGTTGCAATCTGCAAAATAAAGCATGTCTAGATCTAGGATAACGTGGGACCTGAGTAGAAAGCTGATGCAGAGTAGCAGTGGTAGTCCTGTGACAAGTTTTACTTTTGTATAGATCTGTATTGGACTCGGTTGGGTCCCCAAAGAAATATGGGACGTTTGCCTGCATCAGTCTTGGCGAACTACAGGGTTTTTCACAGCAGAATCTGATTGCTTCATTTAGTCATATTCTATTTAGCAGATACTTGGATGCTTTATGTGTTGTAAAAAAATCCTCCAAATCTCATTTATTTGATCAGGTTGAGTCACAAATCAGTGATGATAAAGACTTAAGTAGAGTTTTTTATTTTTCTATTTTTACCTCTGGAGTGTAATGTGTATTAAGTATTGGAGACTGACCTGGGAGGATTTACCATCTAAACTGAAAAAGGAAAAAAAAAATTAATTTCTCTGTATCTCAGGCAAGTCAGCAGGTTTATCATTTTGTAAGCTGTCTTTCTTGGTTTTAGAATTTTGTCCGTTTGGATGGTCTCTGTTTTCTGTTTTATTGGTTTTTCTGCTATGCTTATCTGAAGGGAAACTAAGCTGCAGAAATGTTGTGAAATCTTCACCTGAACAGGGAATGGAATCGAAGGGAAGGCCAAATTAATTCAGCAAGAACTTACTGAGACTTGAGGGCCGTAAAGAAATAAGTATGTGAAGAACAAAGGACACTGAAACACTTCAACCTGCTCTAAAGCTTATTTCAAAGAGGGATAAATGAAAATCTCAAAACAACAAAGCAAAACCCACTTCCCCAGCATATTCAGGTAGCACCAGGAATGGTTTTATTGCAGTGTGTATGTTTTTTGGTTTTGTTTCATTTTTTTTTTAATTAACATCACTTAGGTTTGTTTAATGCAGGAAGAAATAGAATCCCACTGTATAGTTGGATGTTCTCTTAAATGGCATGCTTGCTTGCCTTTTCAAGATTATTTAATTCAGACTATATATTCTGGGGTCAGAAACGTCAGTTTATTAATTAACGAGTATGCACTTGAAGGTACATATTCAAATACTTGTATTGCTGAAAAAAGTTTGGCACTAGCTATTGCTTTTCTATCTGTGGTTGAATTCCAGAAATACTTCTTCCTAAAAATAGGTCTCTTAATGCTGAAGTGCTCTTCCAGGGCCAGATAGGAGCACTTAGACACTTGTATTCGGGATGTGGATAAGCACTTCACTCCAGCATTCACGTGTTCACAGATTATCTCAGTCTCAATTGGTATCCAGGGATGGTCAGTGGTTTCATCTGCTGGATGAACTTTGTCCAGTACATCAGGAACAGTTTGTGCAACACAATAGTTTTTGACTTGCTATAATAACTGCTAATTACAAAGGAAAAAGGGCAGCCACATAAGGCAGTGTTTGTGCCACTGGTCAGAGCCCTCTGAAGCTGGCAGAGGCAGGTTGTCCTGACTTTGCAACACTGTTTTCCTATTGACATCAGCAAGGACCAGCCTGAAGGTCTGTGTGGGCATGTGAAACTTTCATCTTGAGGATGACCTTGCCACCTCTGAAGCCAGTGCAAGAGGGTTTGTTGACTCCATAGGGAACATCTAAGAAATTGTGCCTGGCAGGCTGTTTGGGTCCAATCTGGCTAGCTACGGACCCCAGCCCACACGATCTTACACAGGACAAAAGGCAAAAGATGAAGAGAGCTCTTCCCCACATGGGGACTTTTATTTCCCAGATAGGAGACACCAGATCGCCCAGATGGAAATAAAGAGGCTGTGGCCTTCTCCCGGGAGGATTTTGAGCTGAGGGGAAGGGGGGAAACAGCTCATGGGATACCAGTGAGGAGGGGCGAGAGGAGAGGCAAACCGGGGAGAGACCACCACATTGACACTCAGGGGGAAAGGGGAAGACCGTGTGGTGATAGGATACAAATCATGTGAACAGTGCAAATTACCAAAAGTGCAGTGCAAATAACTAAACAACTAAATAACTAAACAACTAAATAACTAAACAACTAAATTTAGTGCAATACCACAGGAACCCAACTGAACGTTTGCTTAAAAGGCTTTTAAAATGGCACACTGTTGTTCATTCAGCTGGAGTAAAACCTGCTGCTCGAAGCCGCTGGTGGAACCAGACACGCTTCCTGTGGTGCGCATTCCCGTTTAGATGGAATGGCACAGACGCCGCTGCGGGGCCTGTGGGATGCTCCCAGTCAGGGCTGCTCCTCAGGGCAGAGCTGGCTGGAGGCCGCCCGGGGCTGAGGGCCGTGTTCCTCCCCCAGGCGCAGTACTACGGCGTTGTGAGCGTGGGGACCCCGCCCCAGAGGTTCACCGTCGTGTTCGACACCGGCTCCTCCAACTTCTGGGTCCCGTCCGCCTACTGCATCAGCGAGGCCTGCAGTAAGAAATGGTGTTCTCCCTGACGCTTCTCTTGTCTTGGGGCCAGAGAGCTTGCTCCTTTCCCAAGAAGCTTGTGTGTAGCAGGGATGTGCAAGGTGGGGATTTGGAGCATCCCTCAGGGCTGCTGCCCTCTCCCCAGTTTGCTCCTCTGTCCCTCATGTCACTGCAGCCAGGGCAGGCACCAGCTGCACCTGCCCAGAGTCCCTCTGCACCTTGAGGTCAAAGGTGTGAAAATAGACCTGGGCGCCGTAACAACAGAGGTGGAAATGCCCATTTCTGTTCTATTTTTTTCTCTAAAATGCAAAATCATCTCTCAGGTACAGAAAAACTGGGGTGTCTGCAGGCAAACTGAGGTGCCTGCAGTACTTCTTCAACAGTTTTCTCTTGAGAGAAACAAAAATCTGGTTCTCCTACATCTCATCTCGTTCTGCACTGGGGAGTGGGTGGGTTGCCAGGACCTCCCCTCAGTGTAGAGGTGTCATTTTTTTGTGTAGGGGTGCACCAGAAATTTAAGTCCTTCAAGTCAGATTCATATGAGCACGGAGGGGAAGCCTTCTCCCTGCAGTATGGCTCAGGACAGATGCTGGGCATTGCTGGCAAAGACACACTGCAGGTGAGTGTCCACCCAAAATGGGTATCAGCCTCCACATCAACTGTTTGCAGGGCACTTCAGATACTGGCCTTGCCCTGGAAAACTTTGCCTGGTTTAGACAAGGGCAGGGTGAGGTCCCACCGAGCTGAGTGCTGGGAGGTGTGGGTTCTGCTCCAGCTTTGGGCTACCAACACAAATGCCTCACATTTCAATTTTCACTTCTACTTCTTGGATCCTCTTCTGGGCTTATGAAGAAGCAGCCACATAATTAAGGCATTCTAAGGAATTGGTGCTGCCTACCTGCCAAATGAGCATGTGCTGTGTTGATGCAAGTCACACAAAAATAGCCAGGCTTTATAAGCTGAATGAATCCATTGATATGGATCAGAAACATGGCTCATTTCTTGTTATTGGTGGTGTCATTACTTTCAGTTGTGGTTGTTCTTTGTTTGGTTGTTTGTTGCCTTCTTTTTTTACCAAACAGATAAGTAACATCTCCATCAAGGGACAGGACTTCGGCGAGTCTGTGTTTGAGCCAGGAGCAACTTTTGTCCTTGCCCACTTTGATGGTGTACTGGGCTTAGGCTACCCCTCCTTAGCAGTGGGCAATGCTCTGCCTGTGTTTGACAGCATCATGAACCAGAACCTGGTAGAGGAGCCAGTCTTCTCTTTCTATCTGAAAAGGTCTGTCTTTAAAATGACACTGCTAAAAAATAAGTAAATATTTTTAACTGTTGATAGAAACAACTGTATGCATCTGTATAAAGCTTCAACCCTTGAAAAAAAAAAATTCCCCCATTTTAAAAATTCTTTCTGTTGTTTTCTTTGTTTTCAATTTGACATTTAAGATTATGGCATGAAAAGAAAAAATGTTATGGGGAGGATCATGACTTTTTGGACAGAGATTTATTCTTGTTGGAGCTGGTCATAAATAAAAGTTCCCAGCTCAGACTCACCATGTCAGTTGCCAGAGGTTTCCCTCTTGCCCATGCAGATGAGCAGAAGTGCTGTGCTACACCCAAATAGCCACATTTCAGAAAAATACTGTTCCCTAATCTGGACCCAGCTGCAGTTCCACCTATTTCTTTATAGTTTCCTCTGAGCTGAGAGTAGCAACTGGCTCAGCCTGCTCCCCATGCCTACCTTGGTGTCAACATTAAGTCTTCTCAGAGGTTGTTTGGAGGGTCTGAGTTGGAACACATACAGTGATAATTTAGTAATAATCCCTTTCAGTCATCCATATGGCTGAATTTACAAAGGGCCTAAATCCTGTGATTTGACTTTTGCTTTTTAAGTGTAATCTCATTGGTGCATACTGGCACACTCCCATGTCTGTGTTAAACTTTTCTGCTTTCAGAGGAGACGACACTGAGAATGGCGGTGAGTTGATTCTGGGGGGAATAGACCATTCTCTCTACAAAGGTTCAATCCACTGGGTCCCAGTCACTGAGAAAAGCTATTGGCAAATACACATGAACAAGTATGTATGTATGCATGTATGTATGTGTGTATGTATAAAAAACTGGTGAAATTCACCTGTCTAGCTAAGCCCCCAGAGACAGGAACACCTGGTGACACAGGGGCAGGAGGGCTCAGCTGCAGTGTTCTAGCCCTGTGCTCCTCAAAGAGGGGTTCACCAGGATAAGACTGGGGCTTGTTAGTTCTCTAAATCTGCTGTGACATGGGTGGCTGGTATCTGGGAGAGCATGTTAGTATGCTTTAATATCATACACCCGTGGTCTAGATGGGTCTTGGTAGATTGTTCAGTTAAGAGGTTAAGGCGCCCAGGAAGAGAATCCAGCTCTGGATCCTGCTTTCATCTGCCCTGCTAACTTTGGTCAAAGTAGCCAGGGTTCCTTTGTCCCACCTCTAGCACACTGCCTAAATTGATGAGAACACATTCCTGGGAGTGAGGACAAATTCATCAGTAGGAAGCACATGATTAGAGTTGTAGGAGTCTCGAGAGGGAAAAGTGGGTCCACAGACATTCCCTTCTTTAGCAAATCCTGGCTAGTTTTAATCTATTAAGTTTTAATCTAAGCTAGTTTTGATCATAGACACACAGAATCATTAGGGTTGGAAAAGATCTTTAAGATCACTAAGTACAACTGTCAACCCAGCACCACTACCAAGTACATCACTAAACATGTCCTCCAGAGCCACATTCACATCTTTTGAACACTTTCAAGGATGGTGACCCTACCACTTCCCTGGGCAGCCTGTTCCAAAGCTTTGCAACACTTTTTGTGAAGAAATTTTTCCTAATATCCAATCTAAATCTACCCTGGTGCAACCTGAGGCCTTTTCCTCTTGTCCTGTCACTTGTTGTCTGGGATTAACTTCAGTCAATACTCTGGTACTTTAGCTAGCAATAATACAGTGTTTTGGTCACAGTGTATATGCCATTTGCTTAAAGCTTCTTTTTCTTTTTTCATTTGCAGCATAAAGATCCAGGGCCGGGTGGCATTTTGCTCCCACGGCTGCGAGGCCATCGTTGACTCAGGCACTTCTCTTATCACCGGCCCCTCTTCACAAATCAGGCGATTGCAGGCATATATCGGGGCAAGTCCATCAAATACTGGAGAGGTAAAAACTGCTAGAAAGGGAGAGAAACTGGTGTAAAGAGTTGGAAAATAACAGGAATGATGGTTTAGACAGGTGCCAGAGAAAGCCTTATTTCCAGGACAGCACTAAGCTCTGAGCCAAGCTGCTTTTGACCTATATGCCTTGTCCCAGTCCTTTTCCCAAATGTTCACTTCATCTTCTATACTGGTGTGTAAGGAAATAATGGGAACATCTGTTTGAGGAATTGATCTGTACTTTGCATGAGAAATAATTTTCTTTTGGAAGCTCAGAGGATTTTTGAGGTCACCAGCTCTAGATGTTGGGTCTCCCAAGCCAGGAGGGATTTGGTGCTGATGGCCAGCATCAGATTTAAAGGGAATGGTATTTTAATGACAGCCCCACAGTGGCTTCACTGACAGGGCCTCTCACTGTCAGCTTGCTGTGGAGCAGTTGGTGACATGCCAGAGCTCCTGGGAGGGATGCACATCAGTGTCACTTACAATGCTGGCTCCTTCCAGGGTACAGGACAAGGTTTGCTGGCTCTTAATCTTCCTCCTGAACCTTAGTCCACTGACCCTTTGCTGGTTTTTCTTTCTTGTCTGCTGCTGTCTTCTGCATCTCCCTTGCTGACACTCCTCACCACTCCTTCCTGTCCTTCCTCCAGCAAAAGAGCAGTTTTCTTTACCATGCCTATTGCTGGCCCTTGGCTGACTCCCACAGGGCACCAGCACATTGCTATGGCTCCAGTGCTCGAGCAAAGTTGAGCTTTTGTTAACAAGGCATGTGTGGCTTTTGTTAACTTTGCACTTCACAGAATATTCTGAATTGGAAGGGACCCACAAGGATCATCAAGTCCGACACAGCTCCAGTGCTCAAGCAAAGTTGAGCTTTTGTTAACTTTGTTAACAAGCCATGTGTGGCTTTTGTTAACTTTGCATTTCACAGAATATTCTGAATTGGAAGGGACTCATAAGGATCATCAAGTCTGACTCTCAGGAGAATGGCCTGTACAGGGATCAAACCCACAGCCTTGGTGTTCTTAGCACCATGTTCTAACCAACTGAGCTAATCTCAGTTTGTCTTCATCCTGACCCAAAGCTACTCTTGGAAGAAAATTAAGAGTATTGCAAGTGCCCAGTGCACTGGACAAAGAGCAAAGACAAAAGTGGACTCTTAATTCACTTTCATTTGTAAGAGGAGAACTTACAGTGACCTCTGTGTAACTCCTGAGGCTCCTGATTCTTTCTCAATCAAACCTTTAATCTTGAATTTGTTCAAATTGTTAGATACATGCCAAAGAGTATGCTCTCATAACAAGTTGATTTTACAATGGTTCATGCTAATGTACATAGATAAAATACATATTTCCAATGTACTTATACCAGCCTAATACAAACAAGGAATGGGTCATTTCTGTGTAGGTTCATGTATACACCACTGCTGACCTAAGAACATTCATCTGGCATCTCAGATTTCACAAAAAAGCATCCTGAAAATGAGAGTTTCTGTGACTGATTTTTAGCAATCATAGACAGGCTGCACATATTGACTCAAATTTATCCCAGTAAAAGTAAGTGTATCCATCCTGGGTTTTACCAGAACTTTTACCTCTTTTCAGCAAGGATTGATTTGTTCTGGATGTACTATTCTGTAGTAGCTATGTAAAAGAATTATGTCTTGCTTCTTGAATCCTACAAATCATTTTACTAGCTTTTTGTACCCTTGTCCCATGACTTGTTTTTTCTAATGGTATGACAGTTGGTAAGTGCACACAAGATGTAGGGTTATGTTTTCATAAAATAGATTTAAAAACAGCAAAGAGCAGATTTTTCCTTCTAGGAAGCCTCTAAAAATGACTTAAAACACTACAGTTTACAGCAAAGGTTCCTCTGGGACTTGGAACATTCTGCAGTTCCGTTTCCCACACCAGTTGTTCCATGAAATAACTAGAAAGGCCAGGAAATTATCTTCTCCATTACTGTAACTGGATATATTATTTATGTACATTAATGACCATTCCAGAGTTTAGTCCTTCTACTCTTTAAATCCCACTCCAGGGCAAAGTATAAGCATGAAGTGCTGTGCTCCTCACTAGCTTTTTTTCCCCTGAATTGATGGTATTATAGGAGGACCTGGGGTGAACTGCACCCATAGGGTGCTCCATCTGTGGCTGGAGCAGCTCCCTCTGCCCTGTCAAGGCCAGAGCTTTGGAGAACTTTTGCTGAGCAGACCTTGCTGATGTTGGCTGGCTGGGGCTCACATGCTTACTTTTGCCTTTGAGTTGCACAGGGAGGATATCAGAGCCCCTTCACCTCCTTTCTTTTGGGACTTGCAAGGATTTTCATCAGCCCTCTGGGCTGCTGGGTGGTTTGACCGAGTCCGGGGAATCTGGAGGGCACTGTTAGGCTGTAAGCCAGCCTGGTGCCGTTTCTCTGTAGTAAATTCACTGTTACCTACTCCAAAAGCCTTGAATTCAGAGAGCAGCACTTGCAGAAAGACAAAGCGATCCCGTCTCAGTCAGTGCATTGTTTCCAGTTTCTCGTAGACTGCAGAAGACTGTCGAGCTTGCCTCACGTTAGCTTCACGATCGGACACCGCGAGTACAAGCTGGCAGCAGAGCACTACATCATAAAGGTGTGTGTCTGCAGCTTCCCTGCTCCTCACTCCCCGGGCTGGGCATGGAGCAGGCTGCTGCAGGCACATGTGCTTTCCCTTCCAGGAGTCTATTGATGACCAAACCTTCTGCATGAGCGGCTTTCAGTCTCTCGACATCCCCACTCGCACGGGCTCGCTCTGGATTTTAGGAGATGTCTTCATGTCTGCATTTTACTGTATTTTTGACCGTGGGAACGACAGAGTGGGATTTGCAAAAGCTGTTCACAGAAAGGATTACTACTGAGCTGTAATAGCATTTATTCTGTCTTAAGTTAATGTAATGATCTTCAACACATGTGTGAAGAAGAGCTTTTACTGCAACTCTGAACCTAAATAACACTGTGTTGTTCCTCTATAAGTTTTAAGGACTTTGCAGTGATCCTTGTCTCAGATGATATAATTTGGATAGATATGTTTACATCGGTGAAACAATTTTTCCTGAGTAACTCATGGAACTACAGTAACTCAGTAACTACACCTCTCAGGATAAAGCAGCAGAGCAGCGCAGCGCTCAGATTTGCAAAAGATCAAGAAGAATAAAAATGCTGAACTGTGTCAGGCTGAAAAGATAGCAGTTGTGTGTGAGGGAAAACTAATCCTAATCCTGCCTGGTCTGGCTATCTTTTTTTCTTCTTGTGTGCTAGTTTCCACCTCATTTCCTACAGCTTTCCTTTCCATCATTATTTTCCATGGTTTGGGTTTTGTTCAACTTCGTTTCCTGAGTGCCATGGAAATCCTCTTTAAATTAGCTTGCTCCAACCAGCTTATATAAAAGGGAATTTGACTGATGCCTGTGTGGCCACTAATTTCAACTATTGTTCCTTGCACCACCTCTCAAACCTGCTTTTTCCCTGGGATTAATTATACCTTGGTAATTCTCCTTTTTTGTGTCTTGGCATTTGACGTCCATGCCTTAGGTCAGGTGCCGGATTTAGTGCCTGACTCCTCTCCCCCTCGGCTGTGTGAGCAGCTGGAGCAGCATCCATTCACATCAGAAACCCAGACTGCAGCCCATGCAAAGGGATACCAGTGTTCCTCCGCCTCAGATGAGTCATGGGACCCGTGCACCAGCACTACACATCTACTGCCCCTTGCTCAGCCACTTGTCAGCAGTAGCAGGAGTTTCAGATGAAACAGCCACAGGCAGCTGTGCTGATTTGGCAGAAGATTCACCTAAATTCTACCCATTGGGTTATTTGTTTGGATTGCTAAAGCTGGTACTACCCCCATACACATGAATAAAACTTAACCAAACAAAAGCTGCTTTATCTTAGTGGCATTTCTGTTACATTTTATGTTTCTTTACAGTGCTGAGAAGAAGGGGAGTTGAGGGTAGAACGACAAGTGAAAATTCAGGTTGCTCTTTGTCCTGGAGGAAAAAAAAATGTGTTGGCATGTTGGGGCTGCTTGTATCTTTCTAAAGCCTGCAAATGTCTGCAGTCCCAGCCATGTGCACTGGGCACCTCCCCAGCAGGGCAGAGCCATGGGCAGATGGAGACTGGCCCCATGGTGGCATTGCTGGACAGAGGTTGGTGGCCCCCAGGCACTTGCTACTGCTGTCTGGATGTGCCTGGCACAGACCAGAGGCAATATCCATTGCTGGCCTTGGTGACATCACAATCACAGCCCCTTAGATTTTAAGTTTTCAGTTGCAAGACTCAATAAGTATTACAAAGACAGAATGGTTTTCCTGTAGGTATCTCTTAAATACTGATCTTGCCTTCCAATATGAAATAATCTTTGTCCCTGGTGCCTGTTTCCATGGCTCTATTTGCAGCCACATTGTGTTACACATTTGGCATCCAGGCCATCACCCTCTAGCAAAGGAGACTCTGCTGCCAGCTGTCTCTTTCTGCATATGAGACTGGGCTGTGTGAACCTACCCTGTTTCAGGCCAATCTTGCCTTGATTCCCTTTTGTCCATGTCACTCTTAAAGAATGGATTGACCATGAGCTAAGTTATTTGTCTAGAAAATGTCATTTGTTTGGTCATGAGCCAAGACAAACAAACATCTCTAAAGGCCCATTCCTCATTTAAGAGCAGCAGGGTATTTTTGTTTTCTCTACTGTGCAGCGTACTTAACACTCTGGTACATTTCATTATATATACAATATGTATATGTTCCTCAAATATGAGTTTGCAGTCAGAGTTAGAGATCTGTTATTTACAACAGAAGATTTTAAGGGTATTGGGACATGTTCCCACAGCCAGTCAGTCCCAGCACTGACATCCTGGATCTATAAATTTCAGCACAGAGTAGAAACACATCCTAGAAACAGGTGGAAAGTCAGGCAGCATGCACAGGGACTAACCCTCTCTTTGTTCTGATATATCTGATCTTGCTCGAGATTAACACCATCTGATGGGAACAAACTGCTGCTCTGACCTACTTGTCTATCCTGGCCCTGTTCTATCCTTGTCCAACTTTGCCAGCTTCTGTAAGTGCCTTGCTGTTCCTGGTAGACATCAAGTTGATTTGCATGATAGGTCAAACCCTTGCCAGAAGTGCTTCTTGAGAGTTCAGTAAAACCAGGAGGATGGTGTGTCTCAAAGTGCCTTTATTCATGCAATAATTCAACATTGCTTATACGTGTGAACATGAGTTGTGGATTGTTGGATTTGCTGAAATACTCCATTTAGCATGCTAAGGCAAATAGTTTACTGAGAGAAGTATGCAAGAGAGCACATAATCCCAAAAGATAATTTAATACAGATCAGGGTACACTGGTGTTTGCCAAAGTGAGATAGACTAAATGACGAGAGGAAATTTTTCTGGTAAGTCACCCCAGCACTAGCTTCTTTAGAAGCAATGAACAGAATACTGCAGCTAACCTGGAGCTGGCCCACTGTGTGAAATGCTGGTGTACTACAGATTGAATTGCGTGACTTCAGAGCTGTAATTCCTAATTTAGCATGCATCTACATGTGTAAGGGACACCTATGTGGGGCTTAACTGAAGCTCTTACCTACCTAATGGCTGCTGTGAGGCCACCCTGAGCCTCCATCAACACTGTTGCAGGGCCAGGGAGTGCTGGCAGAGCGAGTGGGAGAGGTAGCATGGCCACCCTGAGCCTCCATCAAATAATGAACACTGTTGCTGGCCCAGGGAGTGCTGGCAGAGCGAGTGGGAGAGGTAGCAAAACTATTTCTGATTAGCTGTATAATGTTGTGGTGGACAGCAGCAGTGTGCATCCTGGGCAGCAGCCAGGCTGAGATGATGAGCAGAGCTCGATGATGATGAGAAGCTGGGAAGGCTTGTCACACTTAGCAGTGCTGGGGTGAAACAAACTGATGTCTGGGTTGGGGACAAAGAGCATTTTGGTCCAATACCTTAAGCCCTGGTGGAAGCTGTGTGAAGGATTAGAGGGAGCAGGTATGGTGGGACAGGACTCCCAGTGCAGATTTGTGGTGGACACTTGAGAGTCATCTCTAATTTCTGGCTCAAGTTCCCTTACAGTGTGAAGCACAGCTCTTCGAGCTGATGTACTGTAAGGAGAGAGGTAGATTATGGGCCAGACTGCCTTCACAGCTGCTGAAAACCCTTCCTATACATGCCTGCCTGGCAGGGGTATGGCCAAACTCCCCAGAAACTTGTACTGCTCTCCTGACAAAAGTGCAGCAGTTACTTTGACTTTGTTTCTAGTTGTGTGACTGGAGCTGTCTGGCTGTCCTTAAAATTTATTGTTTGTATTTAAAATTAGCCATTTATTTAAGTTAAGCACATTGATAAATTAAGTTCCTTGACAGTTGCAGATGCAATTAGATTGAGAAACATTTAATTGAAAAGTGTGGCTTCAGCTACAAGAAAAAGGGAATCAGGAGGAAAACTTCCAGAAGTTGCAAAAGATCCATTCAGAAAATTGGACTGCTAGGCTAAGACGCTGTTTATTTCTGTATAATTTCACTCTGCAGAGTTTTTCATTTTGTTGGTCAAACCCAAACATAGCAACCTGAATTGCCTGAAGACTTCTTGTGGAGTAGCAAGTGTGAGGTTGCACCAGTATGCCTGACTCCAAACTGTGATCAAATTTCAATAAGCTGCTGTCAGACACTAGTGTCACCTCATCTCATGGTGTGAAGAAGTCCTTCCATAGGTGCCTGGCAAATCTGTGCTTGGCTTTCCTGCATAAATGGAATTCACATAATATGAGTTTAAACAGTGTTTCCTTGGGCCAAGTGTCCTCTGCTTCCTAAACAGACAGGATACATGTGTTGTTGTCTAGTGTCTTTGGAGGGTTTGAAAGCGTGGTGCTGCTCAGACCGTGCCAATATACACCAGCAGGAGCCAATTTCCAGGCTGAAATAAAGCTGGAAGAAGTACAAGTGGGGAGGGCAGTTGATTTTTGTTCAAAGCCTACCCAGATGAGATAGGGTCCTGCTGTATGTGACACCAGCTAGAAGGGCTCCTCACCTAAGTGGCCTTAGGAGCAGGAGCAGGCAGGTCTGTTCATTCCCTTCTCAGGATCAGGGAGTCCTAAAGTCTCCCAGGAGCCACTGGTGTTACCAGTTACCATGGCAGAGAGGCTGGTTTGTTTTTTGAAGTGCAATCTTCTGAGCAAGAGAGCTGGGTGAATTTTCTGCCCATGCAGTCCATACTGCTTTTGCTGGTTGTTGCAGACTCTTAACTTTTGGTCCCCCCTCTCTGTTCTTTCAGTCCCTGAGCTACCTTGTCTCTCCCTTGTCTGTCCTCTACTCACTGACGGGAGAATGCTGGCAATATGCTCCAGACTGCACTTTTGTAAATATGGGTGAGAGCTAAACCCAAGGAGCTGTGGCTGCTTTCCCGGCCTACTTTCAGACTTCTTTTGCAGGAGTGATAGCTGAAAGTCCAGGTCACTATCAGCAGGTTTAGGGAGGTGGCTTGGTCATCCCTGGAGTAGCAGGAGACACCAGTGCTGACTCAGGTTTGGGTCAATTAAGAAGTGGTACATCTAGTTAGCATGGGAATGGGGGAGAGGTTTAGGAAGTGGAGACCAGTTTTGGTAGGAGTCATGGGTCACTTTGTTGTTTGCCTGGGATGCCTACAGCCTGTGCACTTCCAGCTGAAGATCTCCACAAGAGTGGAGCCCTAGGCTTAGTTGCACCTGCAGCTCCATCACCTCTTGAGAGAGTGCTGCAGCCCTGTCATCCCTAGGGAAGCTGCCAGGGAGCCTCATTTTACAATAAACTGTCACTGGGTATGCCACATATGTGCTCCAAGGCTCAGACATCCCATGCCCAGCTCATCAGCTATTTTGCATCTACCTTTAGTTAAAGTGAAATTAAACATTAAATCCTTTTATTTATTCTACTCTTTAGTGGCATAGTTTTATCAGGAGTGGGGCAGAATTCTGTCCTACACAAATGTGGGGCCTGAGAGATGATGGGCAGAATTTCTCCAGGCTGAAAAAGGACCAGACCCTCATCTTGCCTTTGAGCCACTTGAGTAGAACCCAAAACTGTTGGTAGATCTCACAGGGATGTCATGGACCTTAAGCTGATGGAGCAGACAAAGGCAGCATTTTTCAAGTGGTCCTCCAGACAGTGAGAGATGATGGGCTGAATCTCTCCAGGCTGAAAAAGGACCGGACCTTCATCTTGCCTTTGAGCCACTTGAGTAGAACCCAAAACTGTTGGTAGATCTCACAGGGATGTCATGGACCTTAAGCTGATGGAGCAGACAAAGGCAGCAGAGTTCAGTGTATATCCAAAGCAGACAGAACCATACCCACTCTTCTGATAACCTTAGTGTTTCCTCTAGTTTTTCCTACACAGCTCACTGCCATATACATACTGAGGTTCCCAGTACTCCCTGTAAGTGTATTTCCCACAGGGTCACAGATTTCAAGCCAGTGACCAAGTGGCTTAAAATATGTCAACACAATGCCTCCTATTTAGGTGCCCAACTCCTCTGTTGGATCTTGTTCATGACTTGTCTGAGTACTGAGTCTGCCCTTCCGCACATTCAGCAAATTTGTGTGATAACCATGATTAAGGGAAGACAAGAAGTTCAGTCAAACCCAGAGGAAGAATGGTCAAAGTTTTCTTTCACTCTCCTCATTAGAAAATTCTACTATGGCTGTTTCTTTACTGTCCAGGTTTTCCCATAAGTCCTGCATCTCAAATGTTTGTGGAGCACAAGCAGAAGTGCCATTTTTTCCATCACTGAATGTCCTTTCCTGTGAAGTTGTCTCAGAATCTGTGGAAGATGGTGCAGCATCAGCATTTGATGCTGTACTAGGACTATGGAAGCTTGGTAAACTCCATCGCTGGAGGTTTCTCTCATGATCTGTTATGAGACCAGCTATGTTACTAACCTGGGGCTCGTGTTTGGGCTCTCCTATCACACTAGGAAGTGACTGATGCACCTCTGAACTTGAGAGGTATGGAGTCATTTCTGGGGGGAAAAAGTGTTGGTTCAGAAGAGCCACATTTGCCTCAGCTATGATCCTTTGGAGCTTCTCTTCTGGCATGCTTGCGGAGCGCTCTGCTGGCAGGTCTGGTTTGTCCACCACATCAGGTTCAATCTCCTGGGCTTCAGAAACTATGACCTCAGGAACTGGCCTGGTTGCCTCAGATGAGGTGTCACTGTCACCAAAATGTGCCTCGTTCCTTGAGGTTTCTGTTATGGGTCCTAGCTCTCGGCTACCATGAAGTCTGTTACTTCTGGAAACTCCTTCATGTTTCTTCTTGAAGCTTAAGGTAGAGTGCCTCCCTCTTGTGTGCATTTCCTGCAGCCGTCTGATGTGCCCTTTTTCATCTGCTGGGAAAAACACCGAATTCTCACTCGTCTGCCGACTGTAGCGCTGGTGAGTGGGGTATGAAGGACTCTCATGGACGCTGAGAAACCTCTTGACTCTTCTCAAAACCGAGTACTGTCTCTGGTGTTTCTCCTCTTCCCAAGGCCACTCTTCCCCATAGAGAAATTCAGTATCAGCCAGCCTGCCAAGTAAAGCCAGGTAGTACATGTCACTTAAATGCAGGAAGCATCTATACACATTTATCCCTCTGTCTCAGACATAGGAACCCAAGACATAGGAACCAAGGCCCTAGTGTGTCCCTAAAGAGAAGGAAGAAAAGCATGAGGGTGCCAGGAAGGAGTGTCTGTGCCTTTGAATCAGTCAGATCCCACAAAGAACTCTCCACATCCAGATGTCGCTTCTCCTATGGACCAGGCTGGGAGGGCATCCAGCCAGGCATCTGGCACCCTTTCTTATTTGAGCTGCAGCCTTCTGAGGCATCTCCACATGGTTAGGCTTGTGCTCAGGGTGAGGGAAAGGGGAGAAAGAAACCCTACTCAGTGCTGTAGTTACTTTTTCAGGAGAATCCTTCAGGCAAAAATAGCAACAGTGAAAAAGCTACTGCTGGAAACAGAGGACAACAGTTTCAAAAAATGTTGAAATTACTCAGATGGCCAAATTTCACTTACTTCTGGGGCGTGACAGTGTGTCTGAAGGTCTCACCTGTACCTGGTAGTCTTCTCCTGCACAGCCTCGGTGCTTCATGAGAACAGCTATTGCTGCACATGCCAGTGAATTCAGCACACGTCACTGACAGCGCAGTCTGGGCAAGCCAAGCTGGCCCAGTTACCTGTCCTAAGGACAGGAATGGCAGAGGGGCTTGGGCCAAACCTGAGGCACAGAGCATGGGCACAACACTATCCTGGAGGGACAGAGGAACTTCATCCAGCATTTGTGAAGATCATAGAATACATAAATATAGTTTATGTTGGAAGGGACCTTTAACAGCAGCTAATCCATCCTCCCTGTGCTGAGCAGGGACACCTTCAACTAGATCAGGCTGCTCATGGCCCCATCCAGCCTGGCCTGCAATGTCTACAGGAATGGGACACCTACCACCTCTTTAGGCAACTTGTTTCAGATGTTAGCTTGAGGTGACTGGAGAAGACTTTGGGTTTTGGCTCAGGTTTTATACATTTGCTTTGGACTTGGAAGAATTTTTAGAGCTTGTTTTTGAAGTTTGTGTAAGAGTAATCCATAATTTTTAGAGATATGAACAGAGAATCAGTTCACATGAGAAGATAATTAATAAAAAGTCAACACATCAGAGCTGTTTGCATTCCACAGGGGCTATCAGGGAGCTATTTCTCATTTTTTCCTTCCTTAATTTTTTGTGTGAAGTAATTTTTTATTAAAAAATTGTTTGCAGACTTAATGATGTTTCTTCTTTGCCACCTTTCCGCCCTAGAAATTACCTTAAAATAAATTATATTCTATGAAATTTTCTTTAGTTTTTTTTACTTCCTTCTTTTCTTTTTGCCATTTTATAGTTATGGTTTTTTTTTCAGAAGGAAATAACTTCTGAAATGGCTGTGTGTGATAAACCATTGTCCTTTGCAGTAGAATGCATGCAAAAATGAAAAAAAAAAAAAAAGAACAAAAATGAGAAAACCACAATTTTGAGGCCAAATGAGGCAAAAAATTAAAGACATTTTATTTTGATAAAGGTGGGAGATGATGGGAAAAATGTAAATATCTTGAGATAATTTTAAAAGTAAAAAATGTCTGTAAAGTTTTTAAAAAGGTTTTCAGATGGGAACATCTACTTGGCTGGTATTTTCTCAGGCATGATGGCATTTATTCTTATTGACCTGTCTGTATTACAGCATGTCACAAGTATTTAAACTAACAGCTCCTAAGCTAACTGGCCTGTCACTGATTCCTCATATAGATCCTGACAACAGGGGGCAATCCCATACCCTCTATTCTTTTTAACTGTTGTGCTTTGTTGATCTCTGCAAATAAATCCTCTTCATACCTTCACAAAATCTGGCCTTCTCAACTTCCATGCCAGGGTTATTAGTTAATGAAAAGTCATAAAACATTTAAGATGATTTCTTGTTGATCTTCACAAAAATCTGGACTGATTTCAACTGTTTTCTGCTAACTAAATGAACAAAGGGATAGCTGTTTTGCTAATCGGGGATGCATGAAGAAGCTGTAGCAAAGCAAGTATTATTAAGATAAGTCAGTCACTGTCTTCAGTACCATCCTGTGCTCAGAGACTATCAACAAATGTGTTCAGAGACTATCAACAAACCCTCCCTGCAAACACGCTCTATTTACTGATTACACAGTTTAAGATATGCGTGCACAACTTGGATGAACACATGGACCACTGGAGACATCCTCCCACCAACACCAGCCTGTCCACTCCCTCCTAATTTCTTTGCCCATTTCCATCTTCTCCGCTGGAAGTATCATCAGAGCCCCCATCCCTGCACTGACTGTCTGCCAGTCAGTGCAGACTGTCGGGGTGTGACCTGTCTGATGGCATTCAGGACCCTTAGTGCCACTCACCCCATTTCAATAGTCGATCCAAGGAAGGAAGGAATACAGTAATCAGCAGCTGCTTTTGTGTAGGGTGGGCGGGCAGAGGTATCATTCCAGTAAATATCTTTCTCCATCCTTGGCAAGTTCATGTGCATCTCATCCACAGCCAGAAGTGAAACCTTAAATTTTTTTTGCATAAATCATGTCACTTTCAACATAGCAGAGTATATGAAATAATCTGCTTTATACTCCCTGGGTCAACATTTCCTTCAGAAACCCTTTAACATGAGCTGTGTATGATGGCTTGGGCATTAGGAAGAGACTCAGTATTACAAAATAAACCCCCCCATATCTGCCCATACTCATGAAAGAATAAATTTTATCATAACTTGAATCTTCTGTACTGCAAGGATATTTGTGCCAGATTGAAGTCCTTCCCACACATATAATGAGTTAGATGTGATCCTTCGTGTGCTATGGAAAATCTGCTTAAAGTATTACACATGTGCTCCTTGAAGTGTCCAGAGGTCAAGAACCTCTCTGATACGTTTCATTGCCAGGAGGGGTGAGATAGAGCATACCATTTAAATAAAATGCAGTACTACACCAAATCAAGTATCTGAACATCCTTCTAATAAATTTTACACAACAGGCTCTAGGGCACAGTAGCGTGAGTATCCTGACATGGTGCTAACCTAGAGAGTATCTTTGTCCATGTGAAGTCCTTTCCTATTATTGCACATACCTGCACGGCTTACTCTGGTTACTTTGCTTAAATTGGTGGTTGTTTGGCCCTTGCTCTCCCTAACTCCTGGGTGCTGCTTTCCTGGAGTGGAGTGTGACACCAGCTCAGCCAGCCCTGTGCTTGGCTCTATGCAAGGGGAGCAGCATGGTGCTGTGGGACCTCCTCATGTCTCTGAGCTCCTTGACAGCACAACAGCCAGGGCTCTTTGGGAATCAGGGGAACTGGAATAAAACTGTACCCTTGTCACCTCACAGGCCGTGCAACTGGGGACACTGGCTCCTGTGCTGACCACAGATACGGGGTGGGTGACAGCATCCCAACATGAGTCATGGTACTGGCCCTGCTTATTAGTTCAGGGCCCTGCTTAGTGTTTTTGCTATTTTTGCTGCCTTTCTTTTTAAAGGAAGGTTCATATGCAATATTTTAATCTCGAGACTTTCAGATTAGCAAAATATGTTCTTATCTATGTGGGAATGAATTTTGGATTTTGCAGGATTGACCTACATTACATGTTTTTCCAGGCATAGAGTGGTTTTATAATTTTAAGGTCAGCAGTTTGCATGTTTAGTCAGGCATTGTAAATGCCAAATACCAAAATCAAGATGAATTAGCTTGTGAAAACAAACTCTGTGGATCACAGCCACAGGTGGTCCTTCAGGGAAAGAATATGTTTTGCTAGCACTTGTTGCCCTGATTTTTTCCTCAATTTAAGACATAGTATTAGATGTAATGATAACCTATGGTAAAGTAAAGCTGGAAGTAGAAATAACAACAGCAACCTGTAAATTTCTATCGATGCACCAGTTAGTTTCAAAATCATCATCATCTTCTCCAAAGGGATTAATGAGTTGTTCAGCGACCTGGAAAGAAAACGAGACAGTGAAAAGAGGTTGGCATGCCATGTCAGGACCACTGCTGCAGAGAAAGTAGGATTGGATTTTTCTCTCTCTCCCTGCCTGTCACTTGCAATCATGGCTTGAGCTCCTGTGTGATTGCTCTGCCAGCCTAGCGAAGGAACAGCTTGCTTTCACTGTAGATTCATATCTCTGTGCCTCGCTGGTGCTGTCAATCACAATTGTCAGTGCTGGCCTGCTGGGAACAGAGACATGTCTGGGCCAAGGTAATTGTCACATCCAATAGTCATTACCTTTCCTTACTGTTGTCTTTGGCTCATTTGAATGAATGGTTTAGCAGCTAGAGGCTCTGTTATTGCACTCTTGTCTGCAATAGTCCACCAGCCCATGGGGTCAGTATTCCCAAGCCTTGCAGCTGGAGTCTGCTGGAGGGAGTAGAGCTCATCTCTCCACCTCAGCCCTCAGCCCCTACTTCTTTATCAGCATTAGCCCCAATGGCAACCTTCCATGGCTTTTGAGGAAAAGCAGCGTACAAAAAAAACATGACTCAAGTCAACTCTGCATCATGCTAGCCAAATCCCAGAGACAGAACCTGAGTATGGTTCTTTAATTCAGCCTGCTGACTTGGGTTTCTGTACCTGAAGTGGCTGAAACTGCAGGGCAGAAGCTCATCCTGTGGAGGACACAACCAAACTATGAGCTCAGACACATTTGTGGTGAGGTACCTTAGCCTGGGAAGTAGTCTGGAGAGGTACCCTTTCTGGCTCCCCATATCCAGTGAAAAAACCCACAGAGACTGCCCCCCACCCCTGTGGTCACTAAAGTACATTGGGTGGAGAGTAAGCACAGAACTGCTGATGGAAGAAAAAAAAAGTTTAAATAAAAAAAAAAATTAGGAATTTCAGACTGCTTCTCAGTTCTCTAGTTTCTTGGTACACTGACATGAAGTACCCTCACCCTCTACGCTTTTCTCCTTCTGTTTATCTTTTTAAGCCCTGGATTTAGAGCTCATCACATTCTTGATAACCCTTCCAAGCCTTCCTTGTGATCACCAGGGCCATACACAGGAGCAGCAGCCAGGTCCTTGATTTAATGTGGGTATGGGTAAAGCAACTGTATGATTAAACAGTCCTGTTCATTAACCTCACTATGGACAGCTATGATCTAAATAACTTACAGATGTAAAGCAGTTGCTCCCTGCATATTTGTCCTATGTGCCTCTAGGCTGTACCTGTGGATAAGCACTTGCTGACTCTCTGAGGGCACTAGCTCCCAGGCCAGCACTGGCACACGACAAAAGAACTGCTGAGTAGATTAACACTACAAAAACACCTGTGAGGTGGCAGCAATGAAGGGAGACAGGGGTCACCTCTGCTCATACTCGTTCACATGGTATTAAATTCTGGGTGCAGCTATGAAAGTGCTGCAAAAGGGAGGAACCAGAACACAGTCTGTGTTGTGGCTCTCCAGGGGAAGACATGGATCAGCTTCGTGTAAGCCAGTGGACCACCACCAAAAATTCCACCATAAAACCTATCACGTGAGCTTAAAAAAGTGAGGACTGGGACAGAGCAAATAGTGATGGTGGCTTTTTTTTGGCTGACCTGGTTCTGGCAGGTGAGACATGACTTTATTCTCCAGAAAGGAGTGTAGCGATGGACAACTAAACTCTGCCTTTGGACAGTTCATCTGTCCCTGTAAAGAAAATGGGGATTTAGAAGTGCCTCATGTAAAGGGGAACTTTGGCCCTGTATTATAGGTATTTCAGATCAGGCTTGAGGCCAAGGAATGAGCTCAGTTTACCCATTATTTCTGAGGAATTGCCAAGTTACTGGAAGTCAATACCTCAGGGCCCTTTTTGCTGCCTGGCAGCCAAAAGTCCAACACTCTCAGCAGGAAAGTGGCTGTAACCTTCAAGACAAAAATATCCTGACTTGGGGCACTGGAGGTTTGGACAAACCCCCAGCCTGAGGAAACTCTGCTGATATTAAATTAACTTTATTAACTTTCAAAAACTTCTTCTCCTCTCTTTAATTTCCTTATGCAGAATATTTTTCAGTTACAATGGCATCTCATACCTGCCACAGCCAGGAGATGGCTGGAAGCTCGAGCCTAACTATAGGGGGAGATTCTATAAACATCCTTGGGTGATGAAGAAGGAAAACCCATTTCCCCAGGGGCACCAGCAGGGCAGCCAAGAGGAACAGCTTACAGTTTTTATCCCTCTAGTATAATGGGCAGACACTGCCTACAGATAAAGCCTCACTTTTCTGCAGAAGTTGCTACCTTCACTGTACCACCCTCCCTTCCTCTCTCTCCCACTCCCATCCAGGCTGGTCCCTATGCAGCAAAATCCTTTTCCCCCTCATTTCCTAGGACACAACACTAGAGGAGCTTGTCCTGCATGCACTTTACTTTTCCTCACAAGCTGCCAGCTTGGTGTGCTGCCTTCTCTACTCTGCCCTTCGGAGCTGGCTGTGGGAAGGCGTGTCTACAGCTAACCATGTTCAATTTATATTCTAACACAAAAGTTATATTCTAACAGAAAAGTTAGCTCTATGTTTCCATCCATGATTAATAAACACGAAAGGAAATCTAATGTACATGGACCCCAATGAAACTTTTTTCCAGCAAGTCTGTTTCAGAGGAGAGAATCACCTTGAGGTATGTGGCTTAATTACTCAGCTATCAGATTGATTGTGGTAGATTAGCCAGCAGTCATCAACAGGCTGATGGGCAGCATCCAATTCCTCTACTACTCTTCTTCTTAATGAACATTTTTATGCAGTGGAGTTCTAGCCAACATTGTCTGTCACTCTTTCATAGCCCTCTGGAACTGGGGACCTTTAAGTGCCTGCATCTGATGAGGTTAACAGCAGTATCATTCATATATATCTCTTTCAGCTGATGCAGCCATAGTTCCCCATTGCAGAATGGAGTGGGAGAAAGGGTTTTTTAATCTCTTTTCTGTCACTTAATAGCTCAAATCCTGAGACCTTAGGGAGTTGTGGCATTGGTGCTACTAAAATGGGCTTTCAGATTCGTGACCATTTCTTACCATACAGTCTGTCAGGTGGAATTAAAAATGCATTGCATGATATCTCCATATGACCATAGAACACTTCACACTGAATTCACCTCTGGGTAACTTCAGGATTCACTGGAGATTTTACATGTGTGTCACAGATCTGACACCTTGACCCACCCCCAAGGAGGGTTCCCCCATCACCTGTGCAGAAAGCCCGTTTACCTTGAGCCATCCTGCATAGAAGAAGAACTGCAGCAGTGTGAAGATTGGAATGTAAATATCTAAGTCATGTCCCTGGTACCCTTGGTCAGTATCCAAAAATTGACGCCCTATCAGGCAGGCAAAGAAAAAGGTATAGACTGCGAGAGTAACAACCTGCAAGGAACAGAGCTTCATTGAAATAATGAACCGATACAGTCTTATGTGTAAGGCAACCCATAGAATTTATAAATCTCTAGGAGGTATGGCAAATTCAGAGACCACAGGAGTAATTAAGGCCAGGAAGGACACTCAGGAAGCAGAAAAGCATTTCAGTGCTTCCCTCCCCTCTTCCAAATGATGCAAGATCTTCAAAACATCTCTGCATTAAATATGCCTTAAATAGTTAGCCAGGCCTCCATGATGCTGTGCAAGTGAACCAGTGCTCAGTATCTCAGAGGCTCAGGTTGGGGCTATGAATGTTTTTTGCCATGAATGCTTGGCACCAACCCCCCTTTTATGGAAATTGTGTTTTGAACTTTCTACAGAATAATAGCTCAGTACCTGGGTATAGACCAGTGGAATTCCAACCCAGTCATAACCAAACAAAAGGCTACACCAAGACCGGTACTTATTCATCTCCTAAAAGGGAAAAAAAAACCAACAAACCCAACCAGCAAGAAAACACAACAAAACAAAATTGCATGAGATACAATTCTGCATTGAAAAAATTTTTTGCAGTTCATTTTTGCACATATAAAAGGACAGGGAGAAAAGAAAGTATAGTATATATAAATTGATACTATAACTGTACTCAGCACTCCATTTGAATATTGACTTGGTTTATGCAGTAGGAGTGCTTAGTATACTTTCTATTTCTTCACAATTCATCTTCTGCTTCTGTTTTATTCACAGTTTAGTAATACATGAAAGAGAATATATTACATCATAGAAAGGATATTTTACCACATAATGAAATATTCAGGGAGATTATCTTCTCTGAAGCTGATAATAAAATCTTCAAAATGTCAAATTATTCTCATGTCTCATATTTTCTAGCAACAGGACAAGTATGAATTTAGAGTGATGTTACAATAATTTTTTACTCATCAATTTTTTGCTTCTTGCAATACCTTCTTAGTCATATTAAAAAGAATCCAGGTGAATGCTGCTGTGTGTTTAAATGTGCATTGGTACACAAAGAAAAGGGGGATAAATCCTGAGTAAGGTCATTTAGATGACACAGGAGATCTGTGCATACTAAATAAAACTAATCATGTAAGTGAAAAGCAACACAGCGATTTCAGATTAGTTTTTTGTAGATTTCCTTTTTCTACTTACATTCATCAGTGTCTGCAGATCCACACTGTCTCGAATTCTTCCCTCCTTTCGTGCCTTTGATGCCAAATTTCCAAACCAGACAAATGGGACCCAGTATTTCAGGTGCGGAGACTTAAGGTCATCAAAAAGTTTTCTTTCATATTTTGTCATAAAACCTATTTACAAAAAAAAAAAAAACAACCTTAATATATTTTATGCTTTCAGTACTACTGATTCTATACATTTGAAATATATTTTTATCTGTTTATGTAATATTTGCATAGAACTCTGCTAAACACAACTTATACATTTAACTAGTAACCTCCTCTTAAAAAAAAATCCCGGACACATCTTGCTTGAAATAACTTCTTTTTCTATTAATTACCTATGCTAAATTCCTCTTTACCAATATACGCAATAATTACCAAAAAAAACCAAAACAACCTTAATTTATTTATGCTTTCAGTACTACTGATTCTGTACATTTGAAATATGTTTTTATCTGTTTATGTAATATTTGCATAGAACTCTGCTAAACACAACTTATACATTTAACTAGTAACCTCCTCTTAAAAAAAAATCCCGGACACATCTTGCTTGAAATAACTTCTTTTTCTATTAATTACCTATGCTAAATTCCTCTTTACCAATATAGGCAATAATTTGCTATTACTGTGTTCTTATATCTAACTGCTGACAGATGGTAGAAACAGAGAATACTAAGAATTGTACGAATTACTCTCTACTCTCTAGTTTCATATTCTGCTTTCAGAAAAATAAGGAACTGGACATATCAGTCAAGAAACATTTTTCACCAATGATGGCTTTCAGAAGCATTTTGACATATTGTAAGGGCAGTTATATGACCTGATTCTGATAATTTTTTGTTATATCTGAAAAGCAGTGAGCAAGCAACAGAGGATACAAGTGCATGCACGAAACAAAGCCCAATAGAGTGTGTGCCTTCTGCCAGTGAACTAGTTCCCTGACAGATTGTTTGATGTTTTCTTTGGGGTTATGAAAGCATGCAAAGAGATGAAGAGGGAGTCATGCACAGAAATCCCGCTGCTAAGGGGACACAGGGCCAGGTGACATGCTGTGGGGCTGTCAGCTGAAGATGCTCTCTGCCTGGCAATTTGCCTTGCTGGGGAGCTGGGAAGGTATTAGGTTTCCTGAAGAGCTCTCCTGCCTTGTGAAGCCCTGCTTCCCCCTGCTGCAAGCCAGTCCAAGGTCACATAACCAGGGAGCCAGGGCTGCGTGTGACAAATCCTGCACCAGAGCCAGTCTCTGCCTGGGACTGGCAAGGGAGCAGCTGGCTTTTGGAGCAACACCTCCACCCCTCTGGGGAAGAAAGGTCTGCTCTGCTGTCCTCCTTCCACCCAGGCTTTGGCAAAAACAACCTCAGAAAATTCACATTTTCCTTTGTCCAAATTCTGGATTTTCTGGTATTGGAGCAATTGTCATGTTTGGCGGATTTAGTTTTTGCTCCGGTATGTGACAACTATCGTGTGGGTATAAAGCTTCTTTTGTTGTATTGACATTAGCTCTGAAATAAGACAAAATTAGTAACATGACAGCCCCAAAATACCCAAAATAGCCAACCAATTACAAGTTTGAATCCTGAAAATTCAGTAAGAGAATTGACAGTAGACTCCAATGAGTAAGAATATGTCCATTATGGCTATCATTGCTAATGGCACATGACACAGCAATCGAATAAATATATAGAAACTCAGTTGTGTTGCATAGAAATGTGAATTAAATTAATGGAGATTTGCTAAACACAGTGATCTTGAATATTCTGTTGCTGAGGAAAATGTCACTATTGTACAGTTGGAACAAGCCTACACAGGAGGTATGAAATACTGCAACTGCTGAGAAGGAAGGCAAGGACAGGACAGAAAAAACTGTGGAAGAGGAAATATTCAGCAGCAAGAGAAAGTATTCATGCAGTATCATAAAATTTCAGAACAGAATAAGATAAAGCTTTTGAAAGTTCCCTGGGCATTTTGCAGCCTCTTCTCATAATCAACTTCACAGAAATAATCAGGCAACCAGACAAATTAACCTGCTAGTCATGGTTCCTGACTCCTAAAAGTCAGTCTTTCAGGCTGCCTTTAAAACTAAAGGCCAGCCAGCCTGCTTATTACAGGACAGGAAAAGATGTTTCTGTCAGGCTGAAACAGACAGACAGAAAAACAAAGAAATGAGTCTGGAATAAACACTGGATGCAAGTCACTTGGAGGCTCTGGAAAGACTCAGCCTGCAGGGGTCACAAAGAACAGCAAGGACCAGTTCAGCTTTCCACTGAAACTGGGCACCTTCTGTTCAGAAAGATCAACAAAGTCTGATTTTTTTTAATGATTAAGCTCAAACTGGCATTGAAGTGTTTGTATTAATATTTTTTAATAATGACTAGTATTATTATTGCAGAAAGTATTAATTCTGGATTGCTTTTACTGCTGGCATTACAGACAACATACAGTTCAGAATAGCTCACTGTTATTGCAGTGGTAAGGAAACACTTTATAATCCATTAAATATAAGGGAGGATATAAAATGTCAATTATTAAAATTGCGCGGTTTCTAAATATGGTCATGCTATTTTTATTTAGGAGTATTCAAAGAATTAACCAAGAAACTCTATAAACAAGAATACTGGTTTTGTCAAGCACTAGAAGACTGAAGTAGCTCCAGAAAATGGGAAATATTTGTCAAGCATCGTGCCAGGATCATGAAAAGGATGATCTAAGGAATGACAGGGCACTGAATCCCTGTGAAAGTATCAGAAGAGTGACATGGAGTGCAATCAATAAACAATCAAAGGATTCTAATGCGAACAGTGTCAGCCAAAGAGATATTACAGGAAAATTATTGATGAGAACACAAGCCTGGCTGGGACAAAATCACTCATGAGTGATTCAAAGTGTATTCAGTTCTCCTGTCAAAACTCAATGGTTTGAGACAAGATTGATTCAGGTTATTCACATGAAATATTTTTAATACTAGTGGTTAGAGAAGAAGGAACATGATCAAGTAGATAAAGTTTAATTTTCTGCTTCTGTGTTATGTGGGAGAGGGTTAATTTAGCTGCTTCCTTCCAGTAGAGGATTTGGGACTGCAGTCTTCAGCCACCCATAGATATTCTTGTTGCTGAGCTCACACCTCATGTTTCTCTTCAGTGTTTCCCATCAGCTCTTTTGGGGTGCTCTCTGCTCAGCTGCTCACCCATTACTCTGTTTTTTAACAGAGTTGTTTTCTTGAGGACACAACTTCCCCCTTGCACCTTGCAGCCAATGTGCTTGCTGTGCTCAGGACAGCTGCTAGGCATGTGACACTCACAGCATGTGTGCGCCAGCAGTCAGCATCACAAAGGAGCGAATCCACATGGAACTACTGTCCTACAGTTCCACAAAGAGCGTTAAAACATGAAAAAGAGTCAGAAGGAAGGTCCAGCACTCAAAACTGCAACCTATAGGAAGAGCCTACAGCTCGTGAAGATCCTGAGTTTCATTCAAGCCTTTATGCAGTCTACTAACAAGTAACTATTGAGGGGAAAAGTATATTTTCTTCTAATTAAAAAGAGAAGAACCCAAACCTATTACAAAAACCAGTGAATAGAAGATAGCAGTGTGCAAGTTCAGACTGAGAATAAGATGTCACTCTTCAACAGCAAGTTTACTGTTGTGATTATCTGGTCACCTAGGATGCAGTGTAGTCTCCAGTATATCCATCTGAATTTTAAATCTGGGCTGATTGCATTCCTCGAAGGTATTACAGCTCAGTCAGAAATTGCAGCATGATAAAGGATGCTGCTAGAAAGCTTTTGTGCCTTGTGTTGTGGATGAGTCAGACTAGATCATTGTAGCACTGTTCTTAAATTTAAAATCTATGAATTTAAGCAGTTCATTTGCTGAAAAGAGAAGTGTGTAGCAATAGTTATCTCATGGCAGTTCACAGTTTGATAGCAAAATGCAAAATCGTCATAAGTTGTTTCAATGATGACTGTGCTGTATCAGATTTGTGCTGCTCACATTCATATTAAATGCCTCCCTCCCATGCACTCTGATATGCAATGCCACAGGGAGCTAGGGAGGGGATGATTGCAGAGTATTGTCCAAGTCACTGGATGTTAACAGGAGCAAAATATACCCTGAAAATCTCGGTACTGCATCAATAAAAACTCTGCAGCACAATATGCATTAAAACCTACAAAAAAAAAGTACTGAAATCCAGAGCTGGCTACACTGTCTATACTCTTATACAGTTTACAGTAGAAGATTTTTCACTGTTAAAAAAATCAACAATCAAAACTTGCTTTCCAGTCTACAATTTTGGTACAATGCTGTGACATTCTGTCTCTTTGGAACAGATTGTCTTTAGCAATAGGGAGGCAGAGCTGGATTAGCTGCCTGGAAATGTTGTAATTTTCCAGTGTATAATAGAAGCAGATTGCTGGGGACAGTGAAAGAAGCTTCCTTGACCTCTCACTGACTCAGGTAAACAGTTTTGTTGCACAGCACAAAGAAGAGAGCTTTACAATTCAATGAATCCTACATAAATGGTTTGAGGTTTTTTTCAGGAAGATTGGTGCATTCTGCCCGGCATTTTTTTTTAATATCTAAAGCTTCTCACACATAGTTGAAATGTGTATATGTATATTACACTGCATATTTTAACTTGCTACAACTTTGCTTACTAATCTCTGCCAAAGGAATAATTTTGAGAAAGTCAAGACATTCAGTAGAAAACTTGACTTCTATTTGGAACAGATCCCCATATCTTTGCATTGCTGTTCTACCTCTGGCACTGACCATGCCAGTCAGAAGGCACAGTGCCACACCTTGCCTTTAAATACTGAGCAGTCAGTCCCTGATAGACAATCAAAGTGTTACACAGCTGAACTCTCTTCACCATCATTACACTCACTGTGTTATTGAAAGAAACAGAAAATGAAGTCATGTTTAATACTTAGTTATCCTTGAAAAACTAAGTTTAAAGTAAGTTTTCAAAACAAAGAAAAAACCCTTGGGGCTGAGGAATTTCTTGAGTAAATCACAACACTTAAAATGTGCAATCTATTAAAATTGCACATTTTTAATAGATTACACATTTCTACTTAAATAAAAATTGAGATAAAGCTGTACTTGTGAAGCACCTGCAGAGATCAGTCCCTGATACACCAGACCAGGTTATATCCCAGACGCTGGGGCAATAACATATAACAAGTCACCATTCCTGCATCATACGGTATTGCAACTTTGGGGTTTGTTTTGTTCTTTAGAGAATGTTGTACTTGCTCCATATGCCTGAGTGTTTAAGGCAGGCCTATTGCCTCCATGGGGTCTGAAAGCAGATTCACATAAGACTGTCAAACTTGTTTGATTTCTGTAGTGTTGCTAAAGACTTTAAGAACATTAGAGATGCACTCTTAAGGTTATAACATTTAATTCAATAACAAAAAGGTGATTTCTTTGAGGTGGTTTAGTACGAGGCACACATGGGGCCACAGGAAAGAAAAAATGAGGCTGGTTCCTTCTCTCCCCGAGCCCCAACCTCCGAGAGAAAAGAAAATAATTTTGGGGAGGCAAAGTGCAGTACCTGCTCCAACCACATGGTCCATGGTGGGGAACCTTTTGTACACAGCGGTGCTGACAGAGCGAAAGATCAGCAGAGAGGTTAAATTCACATAGCGCATGAGAGTCCTCCTTAACAGGCGCCCGTACTCATCCCTGCCCTGCACGCAGCTGGAGATGAGCAGCATCAGACGATCTGGCCAAGGCAAGTTCACAAACTGGTTCCACCAGCGATTCACCACCAAAGTTACATAGAAACCTGAGGGTTAGAAGGAAAAAACAAGTCCAGGTCTTATCAGGATTTCAGTTACTTTTTTAAAAAAAATTTCAGAGTGTTGTTCATATCATTAAGCTACATTTCCCAGAATAAATGCAATAAGCCATGTCAAAACCAGGATACAATAAATACTAATTATTTAATGGGCATTGCAGTGTAATATTCTAGCTGATTATCTCATACCCATGAAATTCCAAATTTCCTCTTCTGTAGTAAAACTTAGGGTGAATTTATTTCATTGGGAGATCAGGTACAAGGTATCAGTGTAAGTGGGCATGATCTAGATATACAGAAACCTTTCTTGTTAGTATATTAAAACATGCGCATAAATGTTGATGTGACAAAAACAACTTGAACTTGAGAAGGCCTGTTGGAAGCACGTGATTATTGTGAACCTCTAACCTCCCACATGCCCCTCAGCTCTGAAATGCTTCCATGCACCAACATTCACAAAATGCCTGAACAGAGATATAGCTGAAGAATAATTTAACATTTAACCGGTACTTACCAAGAACAAAAGTTACTGGGATTTGTTCAGCATATCTGTCACAGTAAATTGATAATTTTTCAAAGAAGCGTTTTTGGCTACCTGTAAGAAAAAATCTGCAGCAAAAATAAAATGTATCTGTTCTTCCATAATATTCTGGCACTAGCTACTAAGTGCAAACACGTATAAATAATCAGATATATACACTGGGGAGCAATCTTGGCTACTGCCTTCAAGCAAGTTCTTAAAGGTAAAGGTCTGAACACTGCTGGCAAGTATTAAAGAAGCTGGAGGAAACAATAGTATTATTCCCTGGTTTTTGTAGTTTTCTCAGCACTAATTTGAATGGCACTACTATTGGATCAATATGTTTGGAGAATCAGTTTGCTGTCCCAAAGATGACAGCAAGCTCTAAGTCTGCAAGTAGAGCTTAGTCTCCTTTTCCGGAGCGGTACTTCATGGAAATGCTCAGGCCTGCTTGAATTGCAAAAGGTTAACAATCAAATTCCTCTGATTTTAAAATGTTGCATTGTTGCACCATTTTAAAAAAATTCTTACTCCTATGAATTTTTTATTTTCCACAAGGTTAAAATACAACTGTATTTTGCAATCAGGAAAATATTCACCAAATGTTAAAAATTCTTACTCCTATGAATTTTTTCTTTTCCACAAGATTAAAATACAACTGTATTTTGCAATCAGGAAAATATTCACCAAATGATAGCAAATGGGCCATGGTAGTAACTTCTGCCCACGGGAAAAAGTATCTCATGAAATACAACAAGCTTCAGTATAATTTTTTTTTATTTGTATAGGTAAGTATTACAGTTATTCTTTGATTTCTTATAAAAGGAACATATTACAAATATTTGGTGGGTTGTGCTTACAATTGTGTAATAAACTGGAGCACATATAGAAAGCTTTCTACATGGTGGTATGTTTACCATAGTCATCAATTGCCTGACAATTCAATAAACCTAGATTAATTTAAATAACTGTGAGACTTTGGTGTTCCTTGACATATTAATGCTGTAATTTTTTTTCTTTGTTTACAGGTATAGATTACTGAGCAAAAAATAGTGATTAATCAGAGGAAAACTGAAGCTCATTTTCTCCTTGCTTCCAAAAAAGCAGAGATCTAATTAGAGATCACGGTTAGAACTGAACCATAATTTTGATACTTCTATGTAATGTACTTCATCAATTAAAAGTTTCACTGTACTAATTGATGCATTGCATCTGTCATACGGTGTTTAATTCACACCTTGATGGAAAAACCAATTCTTCTTTTAATGTGTTCCTCCCAGGTGCTGGGTGACACACAGACAATAACCATGTCTGGCTTCCATGCACTTTTACTTGGTTCTTTGTAAGTTTTAAAATCAAGTTTGCATGCCTTCCTAGCTTGAAGCAAAACTTTGTTTTTCCTGGCTATGTAACTTCACTCCAAAATGATTACCTCTCAGTGTTGTTAAATTCCCACTGAGCAACCAAAGACAGAGTTCTGCAGGGAGGACAAAAGGTCTGTACCTTTGATCTAAAGCAGGGAGGCATGCTCACAACCGACAGCTCAATGTCAGAATGACAAAAGCTGTATAACTTAGGCTTGCTCTGAGTTTTTATTTAGTCTGACTTCAGTAGGATGGTTGCTCAATGCTAGCTAAAAGTACAATGAGCTGAATATGACAAACAGTATTGACACTCTACATTTCCTCTAGAACCATAAAGTAAACATGGAAAGGTAAGCACATTGGAAAATGTCCAAGGAAAAGACAGTAAAGAGTAACAAGGAAAAGACAGTAAAGAGTAACCTCCCCCCATCATTCATCAGCCTAACACTAGGAAGTCTGAAACTTCAGCATAACATTTAATGAGATGTGAATTGGAAAGAGTGTACCTGTATAATACACTTATCGCTGTGTAAAGAGTAGCAAAAACAATAAATTCTCTGTACAGCAATTTGTAGATGCTGCCTTTCCACCTTAGGAGTAATCTGTGAAATCCAAAGAAAGTGGCATTTGCTACTTTGCTGGAATAAGTGACTGTCATCGTCGTGGTAGGCTGGGCCTAGAAACAGTAGAAGAGAAGCAGGACACCAACAATATTTTAAACAGCATATATCCTAACCTGAATGTATCCTTGTATAGACAGATACACGGATATACATGTAAATTTAAATATATAAAATATGTGTACATAAATACATGGTGTTTGTATTCATATATCTATAAAGAGGGAAAAATAGAAATCTTGCAGTTACAAGCTCTGTTGAGACCTGCAGATTGACTGATGCAAGGCTGTATTTGGGCTTTATGTCAATGACCACCCAAACCCAGCAGTTAGCACTGAATTTGGCCACCTTTCTGGGTGGCAGTGGCAGGGACATATTACACCTCTGCAGTCTCTGCTTACACTCAGTTTGCTCCACTCTAGTGTGAGCAAAGAACAGGAAACAAATTTTCTTGACTTTTTTTTCAAAAAATTTCAGCTTCTTGGTAACAGCAGTAAAGCTAAATTCCACAAATGCATGTACATCCCCAGCCAGTATTTTTAGTTGGCTGTGGTAAGTATAATAATTGAAAAAACAAATGAGGTTTGGAGACTGCCTCTTTCATTAAGAGTTACAACAGCAGCTGAAATCAGCTGGGGAATGATGTTATTTCTTTCCTTGGCAGCTAGATTTACTCCTCAATATTTCAGCATTGCAGGGCCATGCAAAACAGCCCTAGGGCTCCTCAGGTAGGTAGTGTGAGACACAGTGTAATTAAAGTACAACTGAAAATACACAGGTAAATACTTTGTGCTGGGTTTGGTACTCGCTTACCCAGTGCAGGGAGATGCTGCAGGAACTTTCATATACTTACAAAACAAATCCTAGATCCAAATGTGAATGAAAGCAGTTTCATACAACATGCAAGAAAGAGACTAATTAAGACAAGAAAAAAATCTCAAGAAAGTTACTGTGTATCACAAATATTATTCTTGATGCCACTGCAGCAAATTTATTGGGGGGTGGGGGAGAAAAATCTGTACTAGTTAATAGATGACAAATATTTTGTGCATCTTGGCTATGTCTCTGATGCAGAGCATAATGTAAGTCATTAAAATTCACCTGTAAAAGTGCCAGTTTTGATTTTAGTCACCAAGGGAATCAGCAGGGAAAAGACACCATAAGCCTTGTATTGCTGACAGGCTGTCTCCTTTCCTTTGTAGAATGACTGCTTGACATTTTGCCAGCATGGTCTAAAGATTATTTTTTGTGTTGCCTTTTTTATTTATTTCTTTTTTTTAAAAAAAAAGGCATAGATTTCGGTCATTAGAATCCAGATCATACTTTTTCTTTTCCTGAGCCTTGGCACAGACTTTTAAATTTTTTGTTGTCATTGTTGTATTCCAAGAAGTTCAATGCAAGAGCCAACTTGTCTGACTGGCATGCATGGAAATGCAGTCCTGTCTGCAAAAAATCTTGTGGTCAGGATGCAATGCTTAAGAAAATGGAGGCAAAGATGTCCATTGTCCAGCAAAAGTGGGACTTTATGAAAAATGAAAGAAATCTGTGGCTGGGCTATAGGGGAGGAATGGGGTAAAAAAAAAGCTTAAAAATATACTGTGCTTCCTGAAACTATTGTAGGAGCCTTTAGATCTTCCCCATTGATGTGTGGAGTATGTGTTCAAGCCATGCCACCAATAAGTGTGTCTCTATCTCCCCATTAATATCCACTTTGTAATGGAAATTGCCAGTGGGAAATCTCCAGCAGGGACTTAGATCTAGAAAAGATGTCTGATAATGGGAGGGCTTGTAGCTTGGCAAGAACCCAGACCCTCAGCACAACACAGGGCCACAGCGAGAGAATGAAGTTAGACAAATGCAGGATGAAATGAAACATAAACTGCTAACTGTGGGGGCAGCCAAATAACTGAACAGGGGACTGGATAGACCCTCTTGTTTAGGATCTTTAAGCTGAGGGCAAATTGTAGGGCAGAAGATGACCCTCAGGAAGAATTCACATAACTGAGACAGGGAGGGGTGAGGGGTTCTGCTGGTCTCTCCTGGTATCTGGGCATCTGTTGTGGGCCACAGAGGAAAAAAGATTCCTTGCAACACCCTTGGAGATTCTGGATCTCTACAGGAAGGCAGCCATCAGTGTCAAAAACTTGACTTGGTTTCTGCATTAGAGGTTCAGGAAGGATTCCTTCCTCCCAGCTATCAGAAAGTGGGAAGTGCCAAAAACTGGTCAGCAGCTAAGCTGGACAAAGTGGGTCTACCTTCTCTATAGACCTGAAGAAATCCTGTTGTGCAAGGCCTGGTAGATTGGCTTTGGCCACAAATGCAGTGTTGTAGCGATAACAGGAATCAGGATTAAGAATATTTCCCCATGCATTAGACTGGTAAAATATTTTTATCCACCAAATTCTATTTGTCTGCCTGTAGCAACTATATTTCATTTAATCACATTCCAGCCATCTCTTAGCACCTTACTCAATGCCCTTGACTGAATAGAAATTCTTGGAAGACACTGGATGGTCCTGCTTATTCTTTCTGCCTCTGAAATGGGGCAAAGAAAAGTGGGACTGTTGCAGGAATTTTAGGCTTTGGTGCCTTGATTTCCTTGCCTTTCCTTGCCTATCGCACTCTCTGTTTTATCCTCCTGCTAATCAGGAGGATAAACATTTATCATTGGGTTCATATAGGGACCTCAGGATAATATAATACTCTGTTTTATCCTCCTGCTAAGCAAATGCTTTCCTTAACATTTATCATTGGGTTCATATAGGGACCTCAGGATAATATAATTCAAAGTCTTAATACACATTAGGTCAGATTAGGTGATTACAGAACAATTTTGACTATTCAAAGCTATGAAAGACAGCTATGTATTTGTCTGGTTAGATTTCTCAACACAGCAAACACAAATTTAAATCTGCATTTGTTTTTTTTGTTTTTTTTTTTTTTTTTTTTTTTTTTTTTTTTTTTTTTTTTTTTTTTTTTTCTCTGAGAACAACTACAGCCCTTTAGGTATGGCCTCCCCTTGCAATGGGAAGTTTTGGAGTAAAGCCTTGCGCTGACTCTGACTCTTGCACAGTGGTCCCAGGCCCTTGGTTCATGGGCAGCATGTTGGCAGAGAGTTCTTCCTACATTACTTATGGCCACAGGAAATTAAAAAGCTAAAACTGAGATGGACAGGAAGAGCAAAGCATAACGATGCCCCCCAGCACATTCCTTCCTAAGCACTCTTTTGGCCAGGGCTGAAGAAGGACAGAGTACGTTAGATCAGATACCACAGGCACCAGTGTCTCGAAAAACATTTCTAATTATCATGCTGCCCTTAAATTAATCAGCAAATATAGGGCTAGGCTTTTTGCTGGTATGGATTTGTGAGTTTTGAGAACATAACACAAGTTATGCCCATTTGATGCCTGTAGAGACCTTGACTCATATTTATGATAATGCTTTTTTTTTTACTCAGTGTTTATTTACTTTCTGAAACTTTCTCAAGCACAGACTGAAATGTGAGTTATATATTCTTCCACATTTGCAAAGATCATCAGAAGACCTTAGGCATAAACAGCTAAAAATATAAGTGCGTCCTCTCTGTTAATATTGAACCCAATTGTAAATGGGATTTTTGCCTGGCTGAGAATTTCAGGATGCATTAGGATTCAGAGAGAAACCACAGTACAAAATAACAGCCATCAATGTTTCCTAACTGACCATGAAAAGCTTTTTACAGAATATATAAATAAATAATACCTCTATGCAGACTTACCCCTTGTCATTGTTCACCTTATTTTTTAGTTTTCGGCATAGAAGAGAAAGTGAGTGAGAGAGATTTGAGTTAAGCCAACTATAAAAACATATTAAGCTTACGCTGTATCCACTGACCTGCTATTTTGATTCAGCAATCCAAGCCCGAAGGCAAATCCTGGACCCTTCCTCTTTCTCAGACGTCCTAAATCAAGTCCCCTTCAGATCTGCAAAAATCACCTTGCTCTTCCCTTAACCTGAAGCAAGGGGTTGCTGCTGCTGAGCCCTAGGAGGAGTGGACTGACAAGAACAGGGGTTAAAATGTCTTTCCACTTCTGGAAGTCTGTTTTTGCCAAGTACTCTGTCCTGTCAGTTACACAGGGAACAAACGCAAGCAGCAGCAGCAGCAGCAGCTGCTGATCTTGCTCTTTTCTAGTCTATAATTATAACGCCACTTGCCATCGGAAGGACCTCTTTCATTTGAATGAAGAATCTTGCAATGGTTTTGGCTGGCACACACAGGATTTTTTTGCATTTTATTTCCTCCAAAATGGCATGGGCAAGAAGGGAGCATTTTGTTCTGAGACTTGTCTTGAAAATTGATATGTCTCTAACATGGTCCTGTGAAGACACATCAATGAACAGCACTGATTAACTACATCTGAATAGGAAGACCAGAGACAACCCCACCAAACCTGAAAATGTTCCCCAGCTGCACCTTGGTCCCACCCTGGAGCACAGCATTTGCTGCATTTCTGCTTTGCTGATTTGATTTGGGAAATCAGGTCTCTGGGGCATGCTGTAGAAATCCCTCAAAACAGGCAGAGCTGCTGGTACCAAAAGCCTCAGTGGACCTATTCACAACTGTATATTTCAGCACGTGAAAATCCTTCTGCAACTGGATGTTTTATGTAGGACTTCTTTCCCTTTTCCTCTTTGTAAAATGAGATGAACTCTGTCTTTTATGACCTATGGCATTAAGAGTGAGCTGTAAAAGGTGATAGACTGTGAAAGCCCAGGAGATATCATATAATGTGGTCATAAACTTCCGCAGAGAATGAAATAATGTGACTGTGAAATAAATGAAAAAAAAAATATGCAGGGGAAAAGAATAAGCAAAATTTATAGATTTAATTCATTTTATGATGAAAGGTTTTCCCCCCTGCCTTAGTCGCATTAAGCTATTTGAAGCATTTTATTTAATTAAAACTCTCCCAGAAAGAATGGAAGTTTCTGCCATTGTTTACTTTCTTCTTGTTGTTAATGGCCGAAGAAAGACACTTTGATGTCAAAGCAGGCGAGATATTAGACTGTGGCATGTGTGTGTCAGGCAGTGGCCTGTGGCGAAAGATGACAAATCATTTTAGCATTCAGTGACTTGGCATGGAGAAACATACTGCCTGATCCTATTACAGAGACTGTCCTGTGCAAGGAAAATTCTTAACAACAGGGATATTTTAAGGTCACTGGGAAAATAATTACTTAGACCTAAAACATTTTTCTTTGCTGAGCATAATAGTTTGCTGGTCTTACAGAGCAGTAAATAATAGCACCTCTATGTGTCAGTGGGTATCAGGTGGTTTTCCTGGCGGCTCTTCAGTATTCCTGCAGATTGGAGTAGCTGAGATTGCTCTACTGGCTCTGAGCTCTTTTGCAGAAGACATGAGATTTAGAGCTCCTGTGTTTTCAGAGGTAGAAATAAATACAGGTTTCCATCTGTGTAGCTCCATCGGGACTGGTTCTGTAGGAAGTACTCCTTTTTTTATCACTAAGGTGTCCCTATTTCCTTGTCAGATATTTCCAAAGATAGGCAATATTTTTACCTCTCTTCCTCTGTGTCCCTCTAGGGAAATGTAGTTTCATCTACAAAAATAGTTTTCAGAAGTTCCTTTCTATATGCAGTTCTACTAATGATCACTGATAATGGTGTATTTTGCATTCATTTTCTCTGGATGTTTGAACACATAGAAGAAACAAAAACATTTTAACACTGTGTAACTAGATAGGTTTCTGCTAGTATGATCCATGGATGTATAACAAGACAGCTGAGCGTAACAGATAGAAATCCACCAAATAAAAGTTATTTAATATATTTATGTTTTCAACTTCTCTTTTCTCTTGAATTTTGAGCCCATTTATACTGGAAGATTTCTGGAAGAGACATTAATACGTATCATGTGCTAGCGAAGCTTCAAGCAAGCACTTCAGTATCTGTAACAACACCACATAATACCGATATCCAAAGAAATGCCATAAAAATAGGCTAAAATATGGTCTGAGCAACATGAAAGAATTTTCTTATTGAAGGGAAGTGAATAATTTAAGTGTTGTGAAGAGAGCAGCATTAAAGAATCCACTGTCAGATTTTCTCAAATGAGAATATATTGAGTTTTGCTACACTTTTCTACTTACTGTCACTTGCTGCTGGAATTCTTGTCTTAAATAAATCAGTAAATTAACATAAAATGTCCTCTGCCCATAGAATGACTGTGTAGAGACTTGCTGTTCTATCTTACAGTCTCTTTCATGAGAGAAATTGCAATAATTAAAAGTTAATCTAGTGGGAGAGATACCACTGTACTTAGCATCAGTCAATGTGGGTTATGGAAATATACTTTAAAGGAAGCTCTTTTATCTCCTGAAGTCACATGGTAGAATACTTGAGAGGATTACAAATGAGTTTGTCTGCAGGATAAAGCCGGCTGTCCTGACAGATTAATTCTGAGTACTGTAAAACTGCAATCAAAAATACTACGCTTTGCAACTGCCTTGTAATGAAATAAACATCATTTGTTATGCAGCAGCGCTGAGTTTGCTATTAGAAATATCATTACTGTGACTCTTATCAGCTTCAACAACCCTTTTATTGGCAAAAGCATAGACACACAATGTTACCATGGGACTTATCAGAGAGAAGATGAGATCAACAATGCATCCAGGAATAAGGTGTCCAGGAATTGGATTCAAAAGCCAGTGCCTGGATTGACTGGGAGAGCTTTCTCATGACTTAAGACTTATGTCTCCAAAGTGTTCCATATCATGTTCATCTGAAACAATCTGGGTAGGTTATTTAATACATGCCAGCACAGTTTAAGTGAAAGCTAAATGGTTAAAAGGCAATCACAGAAGGAGAGGTGCTTGATCTTGCTCTATGAATTGGCTTTTCTGGAGTGTCAGTGTACTTTGCAATATAACCAGAGTTTCAAAACTTCTTGGACATTAGCAAATGTTAGGCATTAGACAATTTCTTTACTTACCTAAAAATGCAGTGGATTGCACAGCCATTTGCATAATCATTCTTTTTTTTTTTTTTTTTTGCATGCTGATGCTGCAAACTGTAATTTCTTTTTAATGAAGAAGTTATGTTAACAGAATTTTGTATTGTTCTGGACATTGAAGAGTACTGATAGTTGCTAGTCTGTGCTTCATAATATATACTTAATAATAATATATCTCTTGCATTTCTCAGGGGGTTAAATTAGAGAAAGACAAATATTTTATACCATTTAAATGTTTATTTTGCACCACAAATATTCACCTAGTATATTCATATTAGAGTTAATAATGCATTGTTGTTTGCACAATAGGAATTTTTGTGCTCTTAGTCAAGATTTTTGATGTATCACTGGATAAGCTGGATAAACTCATGCTCTTTATGGCTCAATGGCCTAGGTTTTCAGTGAGGGATCTTGCATCTCAGAATAGCAAATGATGACCCATGTGCCCTGCATGGAAATATAATAATTACAACAACAACAATAATAATAAAAATAGTATGTAAAAATAGACAATACACATAACACTATAACTGAGCCATGCTGTTTCTCTCATTTTACAAGGACAGCTTTGCTTATTTGGAGAAATTCTTCATAGGATTATAATTTGGTTTGTGTTTATGAAAATCCACCAAGAATGATGATCCAGATTAGTGCACTATTTAAGATAATAACACCGTGCAGTGATGACTGATAGAAAACTGTGGATCAATTCACCCTATATAACACTGCTAGAGGTCTGATTAAACTGCGTGGCAGCTGGTTGGAGAAAGTACACCCTTCATTTCCTCTATTCAAATTAAAGGGGACCTCAACCCAAAATTTAGAGTCATAGTACCTGCAAATGCAAATGGGACTTGTAAGGATGGAGGATTTTCTTGAGCTGTCTCTTGGGCAGAGAGATTTGTTAGAGTATCTGCTTGTATGAGAGACAAAGGGAAAGATAAGACAGAAAAGATTCCAAGAACAAGAAAGCAACTGAGAAAAGCATTTCCAGGGAAATGTGTCTAGAAAAGGTGAGTTCTTTTGTGTTACTTATTGTCTGGAAAGAATCTGGAATTGTTGTTGCTGTATTTGTGAGAATAGGATTATTGATGTTTGTGAGATGGCTAACCATCATAAATTTCTTTTTGTAATGGGAACAACTCACATGAGTTTTATCTTATTTAACTAGTTTTATTTCAAAGAACTCTAATAATACATTCTGGTGTTCAAAGCAGCAGTAATACATACATGAAAAGGATAAAACCGAGAACTTTACTTCATCGGCCAGGTGGTCCTGCTAGTCCTGAGTTAAAGTGAACTCTGGCTTTCCTCTCTCGCACAGTTCAATGCCACACATTTCCCTCAGAACTTCATTTGTTCTTTTTAGATGTTGCCTAAGAGGGAAAAACCAGAAAGAGTGTAAAAAGATCAAGTAGCATGGAGGAAAAAGAATAGCATGTTTAGTGAACCAACCGAGATAAACAACTAACCTTTTTCTATGGACAGCAAGCCTGATAATTTCCACCTGAATTTCAACAAATCCTCTCCTTCTCTGCTCTCTGCAACTTTTCACTTAGAAAAACTGCCTGAACAGCACTTAAAGCCTCGTTGTTCCCCCAGAGATGGGGTTCCATCAGTTTGCCAAGAGCAGATGAAACAAGCCATCTGCTTGCTGTGCTGCTGCTGAGCCAGTGCCGGGCCCAGAACATGCACGGGCATTGAATGGTGCTAGCAGGGGAATTTATCCTTCACTCTCCTCTGGGTAAATCCATGCTTTGACTATTTTAATGAGGTGACAGAAAATGTTTCCTACCACGGTGAGTGTGAGAGAACATTTCCAATCAAGGTAACAGAGATGTATATGATACTGGAGATTAGACTCCTGGGAGGCCTAGCACTTTTAAGGTCACTTTGGGAAGTGTAACAGTAATCCCTTTCTTTTGTGCAACTGAAACTGCTCTGGTTTCAACACTGCTTAAGCATTTTTTTACCATCTACTGAGTAAAGAAGTCAGATTACTTTTCAGAAATGCCTCTCTGCTGCACTGAAC